CAGATTGTTTATCTATTTAAAACATAAAAATTCTAGTCATTGAATTGAAGTCAAAAGGCAAACATACAGCCAACAACAATAGTGAAAGAAATGCTTCAATTTACCATGATGTATCCTCAATAGTATAGGTCTAATTCTTCCATAATCAAGGTTGCATATTCCTCATCTTGTTTTTGAATATTAAAAAGTTTGTTTACAGAGGCACTATGGCTGATAATTTGTAAAAGTACATCAACAGTGAGATAATTGTAAAAATGCATCAATAGTGAGATAAATTATAACTAAAAAATTATCAAAAAAATCTGACACAAAGCACATGCTTGATCACACCTTTTTTACTTTATCTTCAGTTTTTCTTTGTATCTTTATCCACCCTACATTTTGTTAACCATTGGATTTAAGACCAAGCTCTGAAGGCTATACAAGTTGTACAGCTTATTGATAAATAATTAAATCTATGAAAAGTTTTAAAAAGAAAGGAAAACATGAGCAAATTTACATGTCAAAGAAAGTTTGAAGCCTGGCGTTGAAGCTTTGATTTGAGATCTGATCCCAAAACTCTTTTGAGTGAGCCTTATCAATTGAATCACCTTGAATGTTTCATTTTTGAGCAAGCGCATCAAACAACAGCTAAGCAAACTCCTTTGGCTCCATTTTTGTCATTACATCGATTCATACAATTCTCATTTAATTAAAACATCTACAGTTATTTACTCATTTTCCTACTCCCATAGTTACCTTTGATTGCACATATTTCTCTCTCATTTTTGTTTTTTTGCAATTACTTACCTAACCATTAAGATCTAACAACACCAACCTCCAAAATCACATTAAAATGGCCATAATAAAGAAAACCCATCATCAAAATGGTCATAATAAAAAAAATTAATCTTCTAAAAAATTTGAAGTTCCTGTAAACTATTCTGTCAATGTTTTGGCCATTATAGTAAGGGTTTATAACTATATTGAATATATAGATGGTTATTCTTGACATTTATATGCTTAAAGTTATAAATTATTATATTAAGTTATATTATCTTGACAATTTTTATATTAAGTTACAGATTGTTATAGATTCTGATTTTATTATAAATTTACAATCATATTTACAAATATGAATTTTTTTCTAAAAAAATTACATGCAAAGCAAAATAAAAAGAGTATATTAAACATGCAAAGAAAATAAAAATAGGAAAGGAAAATTACTCATTTAGAGAAAATTCAATCTTAGATAGGCCATTGTAAAAATCCCAATTGAATTTTGATTTTTGCTTACTTTTTTTACATGAAAGATAAAAAAAAAGCCCAAAACTTGAATTTTGAGAATTCTTAATAAGTAAAATAATAATACTATTTATTTAATGAAAAAAAGAGCAAAAGAGAACTGAGATTTGTAGAGAACATACCAAATAAGGTAAATTGGCATTTGTAGGATAGATGCAAGAAATAAAATTATTACCAAGTTAGCTTCTTTTGTTGTGTTAATTTCTTTCATTAAAGTGTGGGAGATATGAAATACCAATACCAACAAAATCCTTAAGACTTACCTTTTTATCCAGTTCACAAATTAGCATAGAAAAAAAAAAACCCAAGCAATGATAAGATAACATACCACTTCAGTAGCATCTTTTGTTGCTATAAAATACTTACATCATTGTTGATTCATTTTAGCCAGGGGTAATGCCATCTATCGTATGTTTCCAGATAAAAAGTTAGTATCATCAAATAAGTATAAATACATTTCATCTACATGTCAAAAATATCAACAAATCATTCGATTTAAGAGAAATACTACTCACCAATAGTCATATATAAAAGCTTTTGAGAATAATCTATTAATGTAATCAATCATGCGCCGAAATACTTAATCAAAAGTTGTTAGTGAAAACTGCATGAGACGAAATCAAATTAACCAACTCACACTCGTGATAACAATTTCAATGAAACTTAATACTGAAAATTTTAATGAGTTAAGAGGGTTAAACCAAAAAATTTTACAAAGAACATGCAAAATAAAACCTTTGAGAAAATCAAAACAATCTTGTATTTGCAAAGAACATGCAAAATCAAAACCAAAAAAATTTACAAAGAAACAAACAAATATTCACATGAAAAAAAATCATTACCTTTTATTTCACCTGTGCACTACTTTTATTTGATTTTTTCTTTCATATTTAAAAAAATAAAAAAATACATATATCTTTACTCACAAAAGAAAAAAAGAAAGAAGAGAAACTGAAAATGAAAAGGAAAGTTTGAAAAATAATGGAATAATCGAGAATATCAAAGAAACAATTGAAAGAGTTTTTACCAAAATTATATTTCCTATCATCATATAATATATTGTTAAGCTGTTCTCATTAAAATTAATTGGGAACAATTTTTATATTATGTAATAGATACTTAAAATTTATGTTCCTTGAACAAATTTAGATATATTAAATATATTTTATAAATATAAATTAAATTTTTTATTAAATTACGTGTATCAATAAAAATTATAATCATAATTAAATAATTTTTAATATATATATAAAATAAATAAATAAAAATAAAAATAATATATAATTAGATGAAACTCACATTTGATGAAATTAAATTTTAAAATATAAAGATTCTAAAACTTCTTCTTTGTGACCAAAATAAGATGATGTATTTTATGCATCTAAACATATTTATAATTTTCTTAAAATTTCATCGTATCTAAATAATAGGTAATCCTATATAATGATCATATTTTGAGTATAAAAGTGTTATGGTGCGTTATTTTACAAATTGAGAACCCTTTCATTTTCATGTAGTAGCTAGTACTTATTTTCCTATAGTTTTGGTTTGCTTTTTTTAATTTCAAAAAGTTCTTAATAATAATAAAATTAGTAATTGGAAATTTGGAAAAAAACTAGTCGTAATGGTAATTAGGAAGAGCTAGTGGGGACAAAAGGGGCAGAAAGAAAGAAAATGGAGGAGTATGGGCAATGAAGGAATGGTGATTTTTATAGGACCCAAAAAGGAGGGGTACGTGGGAGCACGTGGTGGGAAGAAGAGGCGGTGCGTCAACCTTTCGCTTTCGTCTTTCTCGTGACGGTGTCACGTGGAGTCGGGAGGAAAGCTGGACCCCACAATATTACCCCTACCACCCTCCCCCCCCCCCCCCCCCCCCCCAAATCAATCTCTTTAAAAAAACAAAAAAGAAGAAAACCCACTTAGTGGGGGCATGTGCTCTGCTCGACTTCTTTCCCAACTCACCTGTCGTTTATGGGTCTTCTCCTTGCTGACGTGTCTCTCTCACGTGATGTGCTCGCGTGCCCCCCTTTTTTGGCTGGTATTAACCCTAGAAACGTGGCCCCACTCTTTCTAGGAAAAGTGTCTCATCTACTGTTCCCAATATTTGAATATCAACCCACCTATTCCTTTCTCGGAGAAAATAAACTCCATCTTATGTGGTGTACCCAAATTTTGAGGTCACAATATGACATGGAGATGGACCACTCGGTGACGCCAGACACTTGACAGGCCTTTGATTGAGATCAAAGTTTTCTATTGTGGCCGGTCCATGTTAGCTTTGGGTGCATAGGATAGGAGAGTCAAGTTCACACAGTCTACGTATGTATAATCATATTTCTTCTTCCCTCGAGCTTTTTTTTTTTTGTTTTTCCTTTAAACCTGCTTGGAAGGAGACCATTCAATATTCATGCCATGGATAAAGCTTAGTTAGTGTTAATTTCTTGATTAATTTTTCAGTTTTGGAGACTATATTGGCAGCAGATGGAATTTAAAAACACTAACCCATAAGCTTTTGCTATTGTTACCTGCATCAGTGCATAGCCATTTTGAATTCCAGCTTTTGGCTTCAGATAATCTTGATTTGAGAAGGTGAGTCAAGGAGGAGTAGAGAAAAGCAAGATATGTATAGGAGATGAAGTGGCTTTACAGGGGCTACTGCCCTGTTCCTCAAATTTCCATTCTAGCCTGGGGATGATCGAATTCAACAAGAGGAGCGCCATATGATTTGAGTCATTAACAATGTTGCGTATGCCTGTATTGAATGAGATCAAACAAGCCCTCAAGTACAAGCAGGGGCAGTTGATTTTCGAGCATCAATGAACCACCCTGGATAAAAGGGTGAGAGATGGCCCGATGTAAAACATAGGGTCATTGGGCCCATAACTACATTGTTGCATGCATTTATTACCTCTATAATACGAACAACAGCATTTCCACAAAATCTACCAAACCAGTTGAACGAACACAGAGTCTAGTAGCTTTTTAGAAGGAATTTTAGCGAAATAATTTTCAGGATTCCTTTTCTTAGGCAGAAATTTGTAAGAGAAAAATGGGCAGAAAATCTATTCAACTTCCCTCTTTTCCTTAGCCGTGTAAAACTATTCATTGTTCAAATCATAAGTCTACTTCTTTTTTTATTATAATTTGTATATTAATATTGTATAAAATATTAATAATTTATTTATTTTTATCATAATTTATATAAAAATTATATATTATAATTCGTATTAATATAAAATTTTTAAATATATATTTTATTTTAAAAATTTATATATAATTTATATTAAATTTAAATAATTTAATAACCATCTAAACACTTATAATTTTATTACAATCAATTAATTTTTTAAATATTTATTTCATTAATTAAATTATTATTAGATAAAATTTGATTAATCATCAATACCTATTTTTATTTAAACAAAGATTTAATTTGAATAAAAATAAATATTTAAAAATTCAAATAGATAAAAATAATTATTTAAAAATTTAACTCATTTAAAATAAAATTTATATAAATTTATTAATTATAATAAAATATTAAAAACTTAAATAATTATGATTGTTTTTCAAGAATTACTTAAGCCTTTATTTTTTTTAATATTTTATATTTTAAATTAACACCTAACAGATCTAACTAAAAATAGAAATATCTATTCGAAGTGATATCCCAAACAAGTTAGAATAAAAAAAGTGATAGAAATTTAATTATGGAGCACTAGACATATATTTAAGGCTTTAAGCAATCTTATCGTATAAAGCTAATTGCGAACAGTACACTTCAGAAAAGGCCTCGTACGTAAGACATGACGTATGAAGAGGTTGCCAAAGCCACACACTTCATGAAGACCTTGTTCGTAAATCTAATAAATTGGGTCCTAATTCGCAGGCACACCAGTCTAAACTATTGTCGGGTTCTCTTCTCCAAACCAAAGTCTAAGAGTGAAGTCATGTCGAACACCGGTGCACAAATCCTGGTCTACCCGTTTCCAACCGCAGGCCACATCATCCCTTTCCTTGACCTTACTCACCAATTACTCACCCGTGGCCTAAAAGTCACCGTATTGGTCACCACCAACAACCTCCATCTCCTCGACCCGCTGCTGTCCCGCCATGTCTACTCTCTTCTCCAGCCCCTGGTTCTCCCCGACCCCGTCCCTTCAACAACACCCGGCCTCGTCTCTAGAATACGCCACTTGCGTGAGCTTCACTATCCTGCGCTGCTCCAGTGGTTTCAGTCCCAAGCTTCGCCCCCTGTCGCTATTTTCTCCGATTTCTTCCTTGGTTGGACTCAGGGTCTCGCTTCCAAGTTAAACGTGCGACGTGTCGTCTTCTCGCCCTCCGGTTCTTTCAGCTACTGCATGAACATTTCAATGTGCCGCGAACCACCAAGGATAGGTGATCCCAATGACGTAAATCACTCGTTGTCGTTCGCAAGAATCCCTAATTCTCCACAATACCACTGTTATCAAATCACCCCTATTTACAGATTCTACAAAGATGGAGACCCAGACAAGGAATTCTATATAAACAACTGGATTGAGAATCATGAGAGTTGGGGAGTCGTCTTCAACACCTTCGCTGACTTAGAAAGCATTTACATTGAGCACATGAAGAAAGAAATGGGTCATGATCGGGTTTGGGCTGTTGGGCCCGTAATGATGCCAGTCGAAGATGATGCATTGGACCCAACGAATCGCGGTGGGTCCAGCTCGGTGCCATTTCATGAGTTGATGGCGTGGCTGGATGCACGCGGAGACCATTCGGTGGTCTACGTGTGCTTTGGGAGTCGCCAGGTACTGACACGGAAGCAACTGAATGAGCTGGCGGCGGGGCTCGAGGAAAGCGGGGTTAACTTCGTTTGGTGCGTGAGGGAACCCAAGGACTGGCAGGTGTCGGGCGACCACGGCGTGATTCCGGAGGGATTTGAGGATCGCGTAGCGGGCAAGGGTTTTATAATCAAAGGGTGGGCGCCGCAAGTTGCGATTCTTAGGCATCCAGCCGTGGGCGCGTTTTTGACTCACTGTGGTTGGAATTCCACACTGGAAGGGATCGCTGCGGGGGTGGTCATGCTGACATGGCCAATGGGTGCAGACCAATTTGCCAATACCAAGTTATTGGTCGATGAATGTGGAGTTGGAATCCGAGTGGGTGAGTCGACTGTGAATATTCCGGAGTCGAGCAAGTTGGCTCGAGTGTTGGTTGAGTCACTGGATGGGAGCAGAGCGGAGAGAGTTGGAGCCAAGAGGCTGAGTGAAGCAGCCTTGAGTGCTGTTAAAGGAGGAAGCTCGGACAAAGACTTGGATTCGTTGGTCAAAGCGTTTAACGAACTAAAACCGAAAAAGGGCGGCAGTGTCATGCAAGTGTAAAGACTAGCAACCATTACTAGTAGCAATGAATATCCTTCGTAATATAATCATCAAGGTTGCAAATTTATGTGTAATTTAATTGTAAAAAGCAGGAAAACCACTTACTATCTTAACACCTATAATGACAAATCATGACTCATTCTGGTTTTCTACACACTGGCGAACAATGACACATTTCTTAGTAATCTCATGGCTCAAAATCTTTGGATGAGGCAGAGGCAGCTGGAGCAGCATAGTTAGAGGCCTTCTTGCAAAAACAGATGCATCAAACCTCGCCCATGGAAATTGGAAACGTGTCCAATGCAATGATGATCAATTAATCTACAGAATAGACTTGGTTCAAATGAGGAAGGGATCATGCGCTGTCTTCAATTTAACAGCTGTTCTTTTACTCAATGTTACAGAAGAACAATATATTCCCAGATTAAAAAAAAAAAAACCTAAAGTAAATTTGAAAAACCCATGAAAGTTGCAACTCATTTTATTATCATCAACCCTTTTGGAATAGAAGAACGAAGTTGAAAAAGAAATACACGAGGGAAGTTATCATTTTGAGCAGAAACAAACACCATTTGTCACAATCTTGAATTTACCCATATGATTTTGGCTGGAAGGCATTTGTGTTGTTTTTTTTGCTGTCCACGGTTTTAGAACAGCAGCCAAGTGTGAACTGACAATCACTAAACAATATTTGATTGTGGTGAACAGAAAACAGAGTCTAAACAGCAAGACACAAGTCTCGTTGACATTACATGACTTTTCTTTTCATGTCACGTAATCCTAATCCTAATATATTTCAATGTTGGGTTACTTACGCCTAATTTCATAGGTCAAATTATGAAATTATTTCTTATAATCTGATCAATTAATCTATGTATAATAATATGTAGTCAAAACCTTTATTCCTCACGTAATTGAGTTTGAATCTTACTCACTTATAAATGCTTGATGCAATATGCGCATTGGTGCTGCGGCTTCAATCACTTAATTTTGAACCCGAGTTGACGTGTTTTTAAGCTTTCAAAAGGCTTGGCTTGCCTATAAACTATAATATCGAAGCCAGATAGATAAGGTTTGGAGGGAACTTTTAAATATGAGGAACTGAGTTAGTCTTAGTGAAGCACAAGACTGGTAATGGTGAGACCATCTTTTTCTGGCGTGATGACTAGAATTGGACCAGAATGACGATGCTCATACGGCTAAAAAGAGGCTACAGCTTGCCCGTAATGTCCCTACAGAAGAGTGCTCTTTAACATTTGGTGATCCTACTTTAAACAATGATCTCAGTGCCATTCGTTATGATTCCCCACGTCTTCCCACTCGAAATACCATGCATAGGAGTTCATCCACTCCATGCCTCTCACCTACTGTGAAAAATCTTCAGAAGAGAGATTGAAGTGGTCTGATTGAGATATTAGGGTGCACAACAAGTTTCGCTGGAACAACTGAACTTGTGAAGGACATTATTACGGCAGTCAAAAATGGTGTTGATCCGATCCCTGGAAATAGTGGGCTTGGTGGTGCTTATTACTTCAGAAACATCGAAGGTGAGAATGTGGCAATAGTGAAGCGAACAGATGAGGAACCTTTTGCACCAAATAACCCGAAAGGCTTTGTAGGGAAAGCTCTTCGCCAACCTGGTCTGAAACGTTCAGGGAGAGTTGGAGAAAAAGGATTCTGAGAAGTAGTTGCCTACCTTTTAGATTATGGTCACTTTGCCAATGTGCCTCCTAATGTTCTTGTAAAGGTTACTCACTCAGTCTCTAATGCCAATGATGGCGTGAATGGAAACAAGCTTCAGAACAAGAAGGTCAGCAAGATTGCATCACTGCAGCAGTTCATTCCGCGTGACTTTGATGCCAGCGAACATGGAACCTCAAGCTTTCCAGTCGATGCTATACATAGAATAGGAATATTGGATATTAGGATCCTTAACACGGACAGGCATGCAGGAAACCTTTTGGTCTGGAAGCTTGGTGAGGATGCGGGGTCGGTCAAGTGGAACTCATGTTGATAGTTTAGAATGTGATATATCTCACATTAGATAAAAAGATTTAATTATTGATGAATAAAATTAATTTTTGTATTGATTTTATTTATATTTTAAATAATTATATTTAAATAGAAACAATTATCATATGACAAATTGTCATAATTATTTGACTATAAATAAAGTATTATTAATAAAATTCATGATTATACAGAAGGTTATAACCATTTGGATAAAAGTTTATATCAGTTCATTTATTATAAATAAATCTTTCAGTATAATCATTTTCACTACTTCTACTTGAAAGTTTTGATGTTTTGTTGTATCCTAAAGATATAATTACCTTTAAAAAAGTATTCTTCACGCCTTAAAGCCAAAATTCTTTTGTATTATTTCTCGTCTTTTATTTTTTTTTAACAATTTAAAGGCAATTATAAAAAATTTATATTTCACATAAGAAAAATACAAAGAAAAGAAATTAGCATGATTTGGAGATCAATATTAAAGAAGGCTCAAGGTCTTAAAAGATTAATATTTCCATGGATCAAAATGTTAATTTTAAAAAGATCTTCATTATAAGTTTTTTTTTTTTTTTTTTGCATAATTGCTGGTAAAAAGATTGACTGAATGAGATAAACATGTTAAAAATTAATTTCATTAATGTATAAAGTCAAAAAATAATATGCAAAATATTGATTACATTGCATAAATTTATGCATAAATTGAAATTGGCTCCACAGTAAGGTTTAATGAATTGTATTATATCTATTTAAAAAATTGATGCTTATAAAGACTATATGAGAAATACCTTGAAAACATAAAAAAAAAAAAGAAATACATGAATTGATCTGCGACCAAAAAAATGATTACTTGTTATAAAATAACAAATTAAATTGAGTAATGGAATAGCTGATTGTTTAATTGCCATGTCTTGGTTATATATAGAATAGGAAATTGTCCAATGGTTTCTATAAAAACAATAAAAAATAGTTAAGGTATTTACTAAGAAAAATTAGATGTAAGTGAAGAATATATGCAAAAAATAAGATTTGACTGCAATACTAGTTTTATTTTTAAATCATGACATCAAAATTGAGATAATAAGTTGAGTCAAACAATTTGTATGGTTCTATCTTTGTTGATCGTTTATAAATCAAAAGTTGATATATTTTTTTAATTTATTATTGGTTCAAATTTTAACTAGTGTTCAATTTTTCAATTAAAATTAAATTGATGTATGTGAATAATTATTATTAAGATATGATGTTTTATGGATTAATTGATAGATAATAAATCAAATAATTATTATTATCCAAAAAATAGGCAGTGTAATATGTACTTTGCCTAATAGTGTATTACACTAGAAGTGATTTTATAAAAATAAAATTTTGTTATGAACAATCACAAAGTGAAAATCATAAATAGTAGTCAAAGAGTTAATTAATGGTTACACAAAAGTATTGTTGCCCTTCACATATGGAATGTTGATTAAAAGAAAAGGCATATCATTAAAAATATTGAAGCATTTGTTGGTTACTAATATTTTGAAAGATGCTCATCAATGTCTAATTAGATATATTTATAAATTAGAAAAGAACATGCAAAATCAATGTTTCAAAGGCACTAATACATGTGTTTAATTTCATTTTGTGATGGCATGAAAAACATTGATACAATTTGCCATATATTACCAAAATGAACTAAATGGGAGGGAATTTTCTTTCTTATACATATAAGAAAGATATGGACTATGGAGATAAAATATCATTATCTAATTAATATATTATTGGTTAAAGACAATGAAGATATTTTTACTTCTTATACTTGAAAAAAATTGGCCTTTGCAGGTTGTTAAAATCAAAAGGAAACAAAATTTTGAGGTTTTCAATAGTTTCATGACAATGGCAAGGATATGGTTGGTTATACACTATATTAACATATGAGCTTAGATAATAATATTGGTTTGTGAAACCCGTAAGCCTTGGAGTTAGCCAATCAATAATTTAATTAATGCAAATTTATCATGAAATTTTGCATGATATATGAGTTGAACTCATATTACAATATTGTTTATATTATTTTATGAAAATGATTCTTTGGATTCATATTTCATGATTTAAGTTGATATGGTAATATAGATATAAGCATATTGGTCACAAAATGATTATTAAAGTATTTGAAATTGAAGTTAAATATACTATGGGCTTTTATTGTACATAGGCATATTGGTGTCCTATGAATAAAGTTTGAATTTATTGTAGACACCCATATGTGTTTAAAGTCAATTGGATAGTGTCCAGCATCAATTGGACCATGTTTTATTATATTATATTATAGTATTATTATTACTATATGATAGTATCATTATCATATTATTATTATTATTAGTATAGTATATGGTATTATATCATATTATTATTATTTTCTTCCTTTTTTTTCTTAATTGTCGGTGATTAAGGAAATCGATTGAATTTAATTCTTTTGGTCAATGGATTTTAAATCAAAACCCAAATCAAAGGTTTTTCGTTTTACCAAAATCTAGCTAGGAATCATGCTCGGACAGAATCAATCTCAGGGTTCTACCAATCCAGGTTAGAACCCTGAGATTGATTCTGTCTGTTCCCAAAATTGTTTATAGGATGCCCATAAATTGAATAATCCTTATAATATGAAAGAATGAGTGATTTTAGAAGGGAACGATGGAAAATTAAGAAAATTTTGGTTGTTGCAAGTCTAGGAAATAGTTATGGGTAGAATAGAAGTTTTAGGATTTTGATTTTTGATTTTGGTTCGTTTGAAAGATTATGGGTTAGATTTAGGTTTCTGGAGGTTGGATTAAGATTTTGGAGGATACTAGGAGTAATTTGAGCAAAATTTGAAAAAATTTAGAAATTTTAGGATTTTTAAAAAAACTGGGGTTTCAGAAAAAATATGAATTTTTCAATGAGTTTTCTGATGATCGGTTGAATTTTCCTATCAAATTCTTACCAATTTTTTAGAAACCGGTGGGTTCTCTAATTTTCAGTTGAATTTATTGATGACTTCCTCAAAAATCGATAAGTTTTTCAGTTTTCAGTTAAAGTTTCTAGTGGGTTCTTAGGAAATTCTAAAAAGAAATCAGAGCTTATTGGTTTAGAGAGAGAAATAGAGCAAAGGGAATTTTGAAGAAAAATGCTAAGATTTGGCTTATAAACAATCCCAGCACAATATCATTTTGAGCAACTCAAGATCCGCGTGTTGACCCAGTGATTCGCGCTCCGACCTGACCCGATCGCAAGATTTCTTTTTCTCATTTTATTTTTATTTTTGATTTTATTTTTTAGCTCATTTTATTTTTAGATTTTTTTATTATGGTTTTATTTTTGAGAAATTTTGTAAAAATTATTTTTGTTATTTTATTTTTGAAAATAAATAGGTTTAAAAAAAAGAAAAAATGATTATATATAAAAAACCTTTCAAATAAGTAAAATTTTTTTTTTCAAATAAGCTTTCAAAATAAAATAAAAACAAAAAAAAATATTTTTAAGTTTTCAAAAACATATTTATAAAAACAAAAAAAAAATTCTTTCAATAAATAACAAAAAAATCTTTTGCAAATAAAAATCATTACAAAATAAATTCGTAAAATTTATCAAACTATTGGAGAATTTTTATGAATTTAATTTTTTAAAATTGAATCACCAAACCATTAAAAAATTTCATAAATCATTTTTTAAAAATAATAATAATATATAATATATAATAATTTTTATCCTCTAAATTATTAGAGGATTGATTTTTAAATTAAGTCTTGCTAAACTATTGGAAAACTTAATGAATTTTTTAAAATAAGATTTTTATAAATACCTTTTTGCAATAAAATCTCACTAAAACTATTAGAAGATCTGCTTCAAAATAAGTCATATCAAACTATTATGAGACCTTACTAATTTTTTGAAATAAAATAAATTAATAAATCTGACAATGAACCCTTTTCAGAATGGGACACTAGTTTCTATGAATACTCCTAAGGTGAAAAAATTATCTTAAATTACTACTAAACTATTGGTACAATTTTAAGACTAATTTTTCATATTAAATTATTTGATAAATCATAAATATAATCAAGGCTTAGATAATAGAAAGTCAAACTGGTACTATGGGTGTTGTAAGGGTGTTGTAAGGGTGCTATAACTTTCCTCATACGTAATCATACTATTAAATTTAACATCTGATTTTGTGAATCAGAATATGTTTCAGGTGGCCAATCACACATAAATAAAAAATATTTGTAATGACTCCTTTAATCCATGTCTAGCGACAGGTCTACAAATTTATATGTTACAACATTTATTATATATCCGAAAATGCTATGACTAATTAAAAGTGATAAATAACAGAGATATATAGGTTGTTCAATGGTGAAAAAATAAAGTTTTCATAAAATTTTGAAATCAAGTTTAAAGGTTTCAATAGTCATGAAATTTGAATTGGCAATTGGGCAATTAATATATGCATTGAAAACTCGTAATAACATTTGAGATAGTTGATTTTTACTAAAAGCCATCACTATAAATTTGATAACTCCAATAGCCAAATTTGCATGATTTGTAGGTATGCTGTAGATTATTATAGTTAGCTTAGAATAATCATAAGTCAAAATTGATGCCATAACGTTGATCATATTGTGGTAATTTTTTGTTATGTATATGGTTTAATTCATGGATTGTACAAATAATTTATCATCTATGATTTTATATAACGAAAATTTCAAAGTATATTTATTTTATAAGCCATGAGTGATTCAAAAATCTTATGAATATGAAAACTTTTATAATAGCAAAGAAAAACTATTTGATCCATTTAGGTGATGAAAATGGTTTTGTTCATAGTAATTAAAATTATTAATAGTCTCAATGATGAAATAAATTTATAGAAATATTTAGGAATTGACATAAAAAGACTTAAAACGAGACTGTAGAAACATGATTATATTTGAAATCTAATTGTTGAAGTAAACTTTTATATTTAGTTAAAATGTAAAAGTTTTGAAACTTTTATAGAAAATGTTAAGATATTATTTTATTAAGGGTGGATTTGGAGGCCTTTTATTTAAAAAAATAAAATAAAATCACCAAATAGTAAAAAGATAAATAAAATGGTAATTTAATTAAGTATATATAATATATTGACAATCGAATGAGACATTATTTAATAAAAGAATGCATATTTGCACATTGTAGGGGTGATAAGAATCAAAAGAAATAAAAGTTACCCTTATATTGTTGTAAGATTTTAGTATAATTTTATGAGTAAATTATACAAATTAATAAATTTAGACACTTATTAAAGTAAAATCATGAAAGGTTATTAAAAATCTTAAAATGACTAAAATGGTTTGGTTTATTCATTGAATTTATCCAATTGAGCAATAAGTATAATTATATTAAAGATGTATAAAAGTATGAAAATAGAATGGTTAAAATTAATGAGTATAAAGTTGTAGCCACAACTAAAACCAACTATTTCTTAAAATGATAAAAATGAGACAATAATGTCGGGAGCATATAAATGATATGTAAAATGAAAAGTTTAAACATATTAGTTTGAAGTGATTATATTAAAGATTCAATCACAAGTAGAGGTAATAACCAACTTTTAATCAGTAACCTCTAATTACAAAGTTTAATAGGTAAAAACAAGTTATTGTAATGTGTCTGTTATACACCAGTAAAATTCATTCAAATTTTAGAAACTAGTGTGATTCATTACGTGAGGATGATGAGTTTTTATACTCTTAATGGAGTTTTAAATGTTTAAAACAAATGAGACATAATTATAACTCTACCTATATTAACATATAAGTGGTACCACTTCAACAAAAAGAATTGATGTCTTTTTTGTAAATGTTTATAAATAAAATAGGTACATAGCTATAATAGTATTAAAAACAGTTATAAAACTTCTAACAAAAAAATAAATAAGTATTATATGTGTTATATCTTCAATTCTAACATTAAGAATTGATGTTTAATCTGCGGATACCATCAATTTTTTTAGAATTCTAAGATATACAGGTTAATTGAAAGTTTAAATTGAAAGATACTTTTTTGTATTTATAATATTTATTTGTGTGAAAGGTTAAAAATTAAGCAATAATATTTCAAACTAATTAGGGCATTGTTGGTAATTTAAAATGTGATGCATCTCACATTGGATAGAAAGATTTAATTATTAATGAATAAAATTTATTTTTATATTGATTTTATTCATATATAAATAATTATATTTGAACAAAAATAATTATAATATGATAAATTATAATAACTATTTAAATATAAATATAGCATCATTTACAAAAAGATCATGAGTATACAGTAGATCATAATTACTTAAATAAAAATTTATGTCATCTCATTAATTATATATAAATCTTTTAATATAATCATTTTTATTATTTCTACTTAAAAATTTTTAAAAATTTATTTCATCCTAAAAATATAATTACTTTTAAAAATATATTATTTACGTCAATTCTTTTGTACCATTTCACTTTTCTTATTTATTTTTTCTAAGTTATTCCAATACGTTGTGGTCTTTCCTCGCCTGACAGCTTGGAGGACCCATATTTTGCGTGGATTCATTGGCCTCAGGCATCTGATCCTTTCACTGAGGATGAACTTGAGTATATAAAGAATCTCGATTCTGACATGCTGCGGGCAGAGTTGCCCATGATTCGAGAAGCATGTCTCCGTGTTTTGGAACTCTGCTCAATATTCGTCCAGGAAGCAGCTGCTTTTGGACTGTCTTGCTGAAATTGGTGAGATGATGTGTAGGGCGTTTCATGGCCAAGAGCAGGAGCTAAGTGAACTTGAGGTTGTGTGCCTTGAGGCAAAAGAACTCATAATGGAGATGGACATCTTATTCTTTGAAGCTGATGAAAGACATGATGACTTTCAGTTTGACATGGACTGCGAGGCAGCAGAGATTAATGTTGCCCCAAAGATGTCAGGAGATTTGTCTGGGAAACTATCCTTTCATTATGGGTCTGAAAGTGTGAATGACCAAAACTTTCTAGCTCAAGTAGATGAGAATGTTGAAGAGTCCGATATTCAGGTGGATGACGGAGCAGTTACGACTGGAGTTGCTGTAAGTGTGAAAAGAATTGGTTTCATACTGGTTCAAGTTTGGCTCTCTCCTTGAAAAAAGTTAACTTGGGTGAGAAAGGCTTTCACTACCATGGTGGGAAACCAGAAGGGAATTATATGATTGGTTGCTCATCTCGGGTGATAATAAGCGCAAATGAGCAGCTTCCCACATGGACAAGCTTTATGAAGTTCGCTGACATGAATGAGGAGGAATGGAATCTGTTTATTGTAAAGTTCAAAGAGCTTCTTTACCCTGTTTGTACCAAGCGAAGGACTCCAACAAATGGACAGAGACGGAGGCTTGGAACTTCAAGCCAGTTTTGGGTTTTAAGTATTCTATTGATGTAGATTGAAGGTCTGAAGAATAAAATTTTTGGGGTTGGGAGGTTTCTTTCACGATATATGGCCGTGCAAGACGAAATCATAGCTGTTAAGACTTTAAGCGTAGTCTGTTGTAAATACACTTGGTATCAGGGAGTTTCATTAATCAGATTACTCATGGAAATGAGAAGCTAGAGATTACATTAAGGTTCTATCTTTATTCCATCTGATTGATGTTCTGGTTTTCAGAATTTCTTTCTCATTAACTGTTTACAATTATTTGATGCAGAGTTTCTTGAAAAAGGGCGAAACGTTGTCCAATTACAGTTTTTTTTAATATAAAATAATATAAATTTGTGATATATACGTGTTGAAGTTCGTAAAGACGTCAATCAATCCAACCAGCTTTTAACAGTGTTATTTGGTCGATCGCCCCTTTTTCTTCTAATCTTTTTATTGCGGTCACCCGTGGCCTCAACTCTGCGATCGCATGTCACCCACTAAAAAGTTTTATTTAACGGGGATTTTGTTTAATAATAACAATACCAGCAACATCAATAATAATAATAATAATAATAATAATAATAATAATAATAATAAATTAAACATTCATTGATTGAATTTTATAAGTGAATGTTAAATTTTATTATTATATTTTTATTTTATTGAATTTTGACAATATACTTTCAGTTTTAGTGATTTTTGAATTAAAATTAAAGTGAATACAATATTTTTAAAAATATTTTGCAATAATTTAAAATAAAATTTGAATAAAATAAAAAATAATTTGGTTAATCCACATTTAAAAAAAATACACACGAGGTGTGCTATGTGTGTCTTTGTTATTATTTTTGATGGATAATCTCAAATATTAAATATAAAATATTTTTTTAAAAAAATATTTCTAATATATTAAATAAATTAGAATTAAAACAAACATAAAAAATCAACGTTAATCAATTTTAGAATTTCAACTCACTAAAATTGTCCGTATTTCCATTTAATGATGATTCTCGACATCTAATTTCGTGCAGGTGGCCCTCCATAAGTCACAAACCCCAACTCCATCCGTACTTCATTTTTAAAAGAAGCGCCGCCTTCTTATCATTCCATTCAAACTTGAGTTCAGTCTCTATTTGTCCTCCCCTAACTTGATCCTCCAAAGCAATTGTATCCCTTTCCAATGGCAAAATTAAGCAGAAACGCGCACATCCTGGTATTCCCTTTCCCAGCACAAGGTCACATGATCCCTCTCTTAGACCTCACCCATCGTTTAGGCACCATTGCCGCTGATCTAACCATTACCGTCTTAGTTACCCCAAAGAACCTCCCTTTCTTAACCCAACTCCTCTCTTCCCACCCTCGCATTCAAACTCTGGTCCTTCCTTTCCCTCCTCACCCTTCCATCCCTCCCCACGTCGAAAACTTCAAAGACCTTCCTCAACACTGTTTAACCTCCTTGATTCACACTCTCGGCCAACTCTACGACCCTTTGCTTTCATGGTTCGAGTCCCACCCTTCGCCTCCTTCGGTCATCGTTTCCGACATGTTCTTGGGTTGGACTCAACGTTTGGCTTTTTGTTTAGGCATTAAACGCATCGTTTTTTCCCCCTCGGGCGCCATGGCATTGTCTATTTTGTATTCCTTATGGATGGATCTTCCTAAGCTCGATGATCCTCGTGATCAGACGGCTGTCATTTCGTTTGATAAAATACCCAATTGTCCGAAGTACCCTTGGTGGAAACTCTCTTCCTCTTATCGTGCGTGCGTTGAGGGGGACCCAGCTATGGAGTTCATCAGAGATGTGTTTCTTGCCAACATTGAAAGCTGGGGTTTAGTGGTTAATTCTTTCGGTGAACTCGAAGGGCCTTATCTGGACTATTTGGACAAAGTAATGGGCAATGATCATGTGTGGGCCGTGGGGCCCTTAATCCTTCTTCATGATGATCTTAGTGGGCCCATACAGAGATGTGGATGCAACTCGGTGCCGGTGGATCACTTGTTGACGTGGCTTGACTCTTGTGAGGAAGGTGAGGTGGTGTACGTGTGCTTTGGGAGTCAAGTCGTGTTGACCAATGATCAAATGGCGGGGGTTGCATCGGCGTTGGAGGAGAGTGGGGTCCGTTTTATATGGTCCATCAAGGAACCCACGGAAGGACACGTGGAGGAACAATACGGCAGGATCCCGAATGGGTTCGAAGATCGTGTCGCTAATAGGGGACTTGTTATCAGAGGATGGTCCCCGCAAGTTACTATACTGAGTCACAGAGCGGTGGCCGCGTTCTTAACTCATTGCGGATGGAACTCGGTCTTAGAAGCTGTGGTGGCTGGTGTGACCATGCTAACGTGGCCCTTTGGGGCTGATCAATTTGTGGACCAAACTTTACTGGTTGATGAGCTAGGGGTGGCCAAGAAGGCGTGTGAGGGTGCACAAACTGTGCCGAACTCAGACGAGTTGGCTCGAGTCTTGGCAGAATCAGTGAGCAAAAGGAACCAAGTTGAGAGAGAACGAGTGATGCAATGGAGAAAGGCGGCATTAGATGCGATTAAAGAAGGTGGCAGCTCGGCTAAGGACATGGAAGAGTTGGTGAAGCATCTATTGTGAGTGGCATTAGATGCCAATTGTGACATGTAAGGTTGAACATTTCTTTAATCACTTGTTGGCTCAACCGTTGTTTGCACATTTTTATTGGTGATTTGTATTAACCTAGAATGCACGATTTTGTTGGGTAAATGATCTCCCCTTGTTCATTTGAACCAATTCTATGCTTTAGATTAATTCATCACCACTGCATTAGACACGTTTCCAATTTCCATGCTGCTCCAGCTGTTTATGCAAGAAGGCCTAGTTATGCTGTTCCGGCTACCTCTGCTTCGGCCAAAGTTTTTGAGCCATGAGATGCGTCAATTTTGTCACCCTGTTTAAAACCAGAATGATTGATGATTTGTCATTATAGGTGTTCGGATAGTAAGTGGTTTTCCTGCTTTTAACAATTAAATTAAGCCTCTTTATTTAAAAAATAAAAAATTCATAAAATTGTGAGCATGATGATGATAATACGAAGTATGTTCATTGCTACTGGTAATTGTCATTAATTGTTATAGTTACATTATATTGCTCTCCTTCTTCGGTTTTAGTTCATTAAACGCTTTGACCAACGAATCCAAATCTTTGTCTGAGCTTCCTTCTTTAACCGCACTCAAGGCCGCTTCACTCAGCCTCTTGGCTTCAACTCCCTCTGCTCTCCTCCCATCAAGTGAGTCGACCAACACTCGAGCCAATTTGCTTGACTCCGGAATATTCACAGTCGACTCACCCACTCGGATTCCAACTCCACATTCATCGACCATTAAATTAGTATTGGCAAATTGGTCTGCACCTATTGGCCATGTCAGCATGACCACCCCCGCAGCGATCCCTTCCATTGTGGAATTCCAACCACAGTGAGTCAAAAACGCGCCCACGGCTGGATGCCTAAGAATCGCCACTTGCGGCGCCCACCCTTTGATCATAAACCCCTTGCCCGCTACGCGATCCTCAAATCCTCCGGAATCACGCCCTGGTCGCCCGACACCTGCCAGTCCTTGGGTACCCTCACGCACCGAACGAAGTTGACCCCGCTTTCCTCGAGCCCCGCCGCCAGCTCATCATTTGCTTACGTGTCAGTACCTGGTGACTCCCAAAGCACACGTGGACCACCGAATGGTCCCCGCGTGCACCCAGCCACGCCATCAACTCATGAATTGGCACCGTGCTGGACCCACCGCGATTTGTTGGGTCCAATGCATCATCTTTGACTAGCATCATTACGGGCCCAACAGCCCAAACCCGATCATGACCCATTTCTTTCTTCATGTGGTCAATGAAAATGCTTTCCAAGTCAGCGAAGGTGTTGAAGACGACTCCCCAACTCTCATGATTCTCAATCCAGTTGTTTCTATAGAATTCCTTATCTGGGTCCCCATCTTTGTATAATCTGTAAACATGGGTGATTTGATACCACGGGTATTCTGGAGAATTAGGGATTCTTGGGAACGATAATGTGTGATTTACGTCATTGGGATCATCGATCCTTGGTGGTTCGCGGCACATGGAAATCTTCATGGAGTAGCTGAAGGAACCGGAGGGCGAGAAGAGGACACGTCGCACGCCCAACTTGGAAGCGAGACTCTGAGTCCAACCAAAGAAGAAGTCGGAGACAATAGCAACAGGGGGCGAAGCTTGGAACTGAAACCACTGGAGCAGCGCGGGGTAGTGAAGCTCACGCAAGCGGCGAATTCTAGCGACAAGGCCGGTTGTTGTTGAAGCGTCGGGGGCGGGGAGAATCAGGGGCTGAAGAGAAGAGGAGACATGGCGGGACAAGAGCGGGTCGAGGAGATAGAAGTTGTTCGGAGTGAGCAATACAGTGACTGTTAGGCCGCGGGTGAGAAACCGGTGAGTAAGGTCAAGGAAAGGGATGATGTGGCCCGGGCCCGGAAATGGGTAGACCAGGATATGTGCACCGGTGTTTGACATGGCTCTACTCTTTAGACTTTAGTGTGGAGAAGACGCGCTAATAGTTGAGACTTGCTGACTTGAGAGTTGGGATCCATTTTATTAGGCGGACTGGGTTTCATTAGCGACTACGTCATGCCTTACGAAGAAGCCCATGTTCATTTATTTCATAAACGACAAATTGTATTATTTTAGAGTGTTAAAGACAATGCTTTTCTGGAGTTGTTATAATTGGATATGATCGTTATTAATAATAATATAATCATTATTATAAATTTATTAATTCTATAGACGAAGAAAAAGAATGGGTTTTCCTTAAAGAAACAAGCAGAGTCCTTAGCTTCAAGAGCAAGGTTCGGGAGTTTTTTTCACGAAAGGAAGAAGACTATAAAGATGGGTGATTTTGTGGAAATGCTGTTGCTTCTTGCTTGTCTGGTAGTATAGAGGTGTTGAGTGCACGTCTTTATGCAGAAGGGAAACCAAAATTGTGGTTTTGGGCAAGATAACCCTATTTATGTTTTACATCAGGCCATCTCTCACCCTTTTATGATCCAGGGTGGTTTATTGAAGCTCGAAAATCAACTGCACCTGTTTTACTTGAGGTCTTGTTTGATCTCATTCATTAGATGTATATGCAACATTGTTAAAGACTCAGTCATACGGCACACCTCTTGTTGAATTCGACCATCCCCAGGCTAGAATGGAAATTTGAGGAACAGGGTTCTGGCCCTGTAGAGCCTCTTCATTATGTACATATCTTTGCTTTTCTCTACATCTCCTTGAACCTACTTCTCAAATCAAGACTGTATGAAGCCAAAAGCTGTCCGTCAAAATGGCTATGCACTGATGCAGGTAACAAAAACAAAAGCTTATGTCCTATTGTTTTAGAACGGACATATGTTCAACGCATCATAACAAAAAACGTTAGTTTCGATGACAACTTAGGGTTATGGGTACAGATGTTAAATACGAATATTCCGTAGGACGGAATCAACTTTTAGACATTTGAGTTTGATCCGCTCTAAATTCAACGGATAATCATCCATGACACTACTGCAAGTCACCATCTCTCAACCTGACGGCATTTGAGCAAAACTATCGACATAGCAAAATCTATATCTTAACTCCCTATAAGCTTTTATCATTCGTGGAGGAGTTGATTATAACTCTTCCAAATACGTGGAGTTTTTGCGTGAACAACAGATCGATTGAGCAAGATTTTGGGAGCAGCTATGAATCCTTCTATAAGGAGATATTTTTGGTGTAAATGATTATTGTCTCCTAAAATTTTCCCGTGAGCTCGATGTGTATTTCGATCAATAATGCCACTGTTGGGAAGCAGCATTAAAGAATCAGAGTTTGGAAGATTATTTCTCTTGTAGCAGCTGCTAATACTCTAATAGCTTTTCTTGTATTGTGGTGCAGACAGTATATGCTAGTGCTACTCCGGATTTGCATTTTCCCTGTTCTTAATGCAGTACATTTCTGGAACAGCATTTCTGGTAAGATATAACCAAGTCAATGCATGTTATATTGTCGGAAATTTGTACTTTGATTTGGCCTTTCGAGCTATATTCGCTCTATGAATAAAATGCAGGTTCACTATGCTGTTGAAGTGGTTAAAATTGATGAGTCAATTTCTGTGTTTCACTTAAATCTAATCAGCCCTTTACCCAGAAAGAAAACTAATCTGCCTCGTAAGTAAACTCACTTGACAGGAGTATTAACTAAAAACTGCATACTTGAACAATAGTTTCCCATTCATGAATTGTGGTTACTTCTCATGTGAAAATTCAAAATTGACTTATGTTAAGTCCTTTAACAAGATTTGACCCTTCATTTAAATTATTATGTTGCTTGAAACCATGCATAATGAGAAAATATAATACAATCTCATCTCATCCTCAACATATGAAAACAAGAACACTTGGGGCCATCCACTCAACATAACAGTAATAACAGTTTAAAAAACAACAGCCTGACAGGGAAAAAAAGATGATGACTGCACTAATTAACATGATCCCTAAAAACTGCTCATTTAGAACGTATAAATGAACCAAGAAGGGAAAAATGAAGAAGAGGTTTGGAGTTGTTGCCAGCAGGATGTGAAGATAGAAGACTTCTAATAGTGCGAGGTCGAAATTTTGAAACAGAACAATCTCATGGAATTGGTTATTCTTAATCCGAATGCTCATTATTGTGGACAGGAGGATTTGTAGGTGATCTTCTGTAGTCTTCATTCATAAAATTCGTTAGTTTTTTGGCAGCCCCAAGAAGCTTTTGGGATTGAAGTTTCTGAGAGGATTTATCAGTTTCTTGAAGAACTAGTTTTGGGGACCTTGAGAAACATTCCGAACTGCCTTTGTCAGAAACAGGCTTGGAATTTCGGAAGCAGAGCTGGTTTGTACTTGTAAGTTTAACTGAATGCTTCCTAGAAGCTTCTGGGCTTGCTGAACTAACGAAGTTTGGCTTCAACATGTTTCTGTCATCCTAGGTAATCATAGAAATGTTATGGGAAAAAAAGCATTGTTGTTGAAAAAGGAACAAGAAATGAACGCAAGCTAGAGATCAGGAACCTGATTTTTGAACTTCTTTTGTGAGCTCCCTATATGGTTGTTTAAAGCACTTGTAACCTTTCCTGCATCAAAAGATTGAAATATTCAAATTGAACCAAAACAAACCACGTATTCCTGATTGAGCAGTCACATATTAACTGGAGACATCGAGTAGTTTACACAATCACACACAAATACACCAAAATCAAGCCCCACTTTGCCTTAAATACAATGGAAAAAAAATATAAACTTTTGTTGCATTGCAAACTGTGAAATTTCTATTGCATACATACAAGTATGATATATAATTCCCCAACTTGTATTCTCTAGAATTCCCTATCAAAAGAAGGAAAATTAAAAACTACGGAAGCAAAATTGGAAGGTTGACAAAAAAGAAGAAAGAAGCTCTATCAATCCTAAAGGATTTCACTTTATTTCCTCAGTTATTCTTAGGCGGATGGGATTTGGGGACATGATAATCTGCGCTAAAAGCTGTAAAACCAGCCATTTTGGGATTCCCGCGACGATGAGGATTTCTATTTCTCAGTTTACGATTTACGTTCAAAATTCCTTCCCCTCTATGGCTACTTTTTCCAACAGATTGATAATCTGCACCTGAAATCTTTGCACTCTCTTCTCCATCCGAACCTTCCACTGTCATTGTATTTTTATCCAAAGCCCGTTTTAGCATCAATTTTCTTCCTTCAAGCCTCGAACTCCCAATTTCTGCCGCCGCAGGCACAGCATCACAAGCTTCCTGGTAAGACAATATTTAACATATTAGAAACTTTAAACTTTCTGTATAATTATAATAGAAGAATGCATTTGTGACAAATTATTCAATACTATTTAATAACTGTACCTACCTTTCCTACTTTGGCCAGGTTTTTTCTTGCTGTTTCAAGATCACCACTTCCATCAGCAGCCATTATAGTCTCCATAACTGAAAAAGGTAATTGAAGAAATTAACACAGATGAGCTTTATTCATGGCATGAATGAAAAAGTTCCCAGCAGGTTGAAAAGAAAAAAAAATGCTTGAGGGAAAAAGGAATATGAGTATATACCTTGGCTGTGTGCACTTGACTCTCCTATGAGTATCAAAATGAACAAAAGTGCAAAGCTAAAAAACCTTATGGACACCATTTCTGTTTTTCTTTCTTCTTTAGGAATGTTTGTGTCCAAGCAACAAAAGAGAGGAATCGTATGAAAGGGTAAGAGGGTCTTTATAAAGTTTGAAACCCCAGCAGGTCGAAGCTAGGGTTCCAACACTCACTTTTTCTTCCTTTTCTTTGATAAAATTAATAATAGTAATTAATATTCAATTCCATGCATTTACTTGGGGAAACTCAAAGTATGAAATCTATAACATAGGGTGATGTTCAACCTAATTTGAACGAAAAAGTTGAAAAATTAATGGGCACGAACTATTTTTTTTTCCCTTTCTAGTTTTGCTACAAATTATGTTAGGAAAAAGGTATATGATCGCGTGAAATGGAAGATACACGAGTGTTTAGTGCTTGTCTGCCGCCATGCATGCAACGAGGAGAGGAGCTTGTTTGGTGGCCAAGTTTTTCAAAACACAAAAACCTTGGGGACTTCAATTTTTAACTGTTTTGGAACTCTAGTCCCCGTGAAAATATATATGTTCTACAGTTTGAGCTTTGTCCTGGGGCTTTTGTTTGTATCAATATGATAAGCTGTTAAAGAAACGTATAGTGGAAATCCAAGCTCTGCCCAACTTGGCGTCTCGCACGATTCTCATGGCAGTGGAAGGCTAAAGGGTTAAAAAAAAAATAGTAATATTAAATTAATTTCTATAGTTTAAAGGCCGGTTTGATTTTCAAGTCTAAAACAGAAAGCTTCATTCAAATATACTTTGATTGAATAATATTTAAAGGGCTTTGATTTCTGTGGAAGTAGCTTTGACTATGATATGATTCGAAGGTACCTCTGACTTGTACGTATATTTATGTACCAAGACTACTGTATTTTCAGGTTGGGTGAAAACTGAAACATAAATATTTTTACGGAAGTTGTAACTTGATAATAGAAAAAAATATTGCAGCTATTATCATTCAAATTTTAATTGCATTGGATATCATATTTTAAACATACTATATAAATAAATTGAAATCAATTCTAAATTCCAAAGGAACATAATTTTAAATACTACTTAATTCTTATAAATTTGCTAGTTCAATTTTGACTAAAAAACTAAATAATCATAAAATTTATATTTGATGTATTATTAGTGAATCAGATTATAAAATTAATTAACAAGATGGATTATATGATAATATATCATTAGTGAGTAGTTATTTAAAAATATTTTAATTTATGTGTATTTATTCTAAATGTTAATTTTTACTCATTAATTAAGTGTCATCATCTAATTTATTGATAATATATAAAATCTACGTATTGATAATGTATCAAATATAAACTTATAATCTTACAAAAACGTGTGAAAGTTATAGGTTCATCCGTGTATGAAATCATTAATAACCAAGTAGTCAAGATTAACAACAATTAACATTAGATTAATTTTGTGATTAAGTAATATATTTATTTTTAGTGATAAAGAATTTTTAGATTTTACTCCATATATTATTTTTCATGTCTAATTAAATAAATTTAGAAAAATTTTTATTTTATAATCACTTTTATTAGAATCAAACAAACAAGAGAGTTTGTATATTTTTTGTGACTTGAGCTAAATATTTTTGTGATTAATTTATGATTGTGGTGGTTAACAAGTTTGGAACACGAGCGCATGCTCTTCAACTTTATACTATTTTATTTTATAGGGGGTGTTCCTAAGAGTAGAGATCACATATAGGGTCAACTTAAACTCAATCGGTTAAAGAATAAAACATTTTCACATATTTCTATTTACATCGGAAATTGAATCACTAGGCGCGGGATAGTCGGCCATTGCCATGTGCACCAACTTCCTTTGGTTCGTTAATTAGGTTTTGTTTATCTTACTTTTTTTTTTTTTATCGAATTTGAGTTACATAAAAAAATAGTAATTTAGTTTTTAAATTTACATTCCATCTTCATTTGATTATTTTTTGGTCTGATAAAACTAAAAAACCTGCCATGCTAGATTCCTATGTAATAATAATATTGTACTAATTTTTTTTTATTTGTTTGTTGATGATTAATTAATGCTAATTCATTAAAAAAAAAGAGAAATAATTCTAAGGGTAACTGCTTACTTTAGTATTACCGTTCCAAAAAATATTAATAAATTTTTTTTATTTTAAAATTTTAAAAATATTACTATTTTTAAATATTTTAATATTTGTTAAAAAAATCGGGCCCTTTGTTTAAGGAATTAATTAGATTTTATTTTATTTAATCGAAGAATAAAGGCCCAAGGGTGCCCAATAACCACATTGGAAACAAAGATTAGTTGTTGGCCTAAGGCTGCAAAATGCTGAACCCAAGATTGTGGGCTGAACCTAAATAACAGTAAGAGGCCCATAGGACTCATGCGACGATAACCGGTTTTTGACTTCTTTTTTTTTTTTTTTCTTCATTACACACTTCCCGGTTCCCACCCGCGAAATCCAAAATTAACGGCTTCAATTGCCCGCCAAAAGCACAATCCTAGCCAAAACCAGATCCACTTGAAATCACAGTGAACTAAAGTCTAAAGCACTCACCAACAAGAGCGAAAAACAGAGAACCCTGCATTTCCAGCCCCCAAATCCTCCACCATGAAAATAAAATCAGTGAAGCTAAGGGAAGCCCACAAAGGAAGTTCCAGTGCCTCGTTCTGCTCCATCTTGTGGGACCTCCAAGCCCACCACTTGGTGACTGCTTCATCTTCTGAACCCTCTATTTCTATTCACGATCCTCTTCTTCCTTCGAATCCGCCTCGGGTTCTCCGCCACCACCGAGATGGGGTCACCGCTTTGGCTCTGAGTCCCAACTCCACTTGTCTCGCCTCTGGATCTATTGATCATTCCGTTAAGCTCTATAAATTCCCTGGTATTCGTTTCTTGCATTTTTTTTTTAAATTTTTTTAGATGGGTAGTCCTTTTTAGTTCTGTTTTTGTTTGGGTATTTGTTAGAATTAAGAAATATTTGGTTTAATCAGTAAACTTTGGTTGATAATATCTGAAAAGTTGATATCTTTATGGGATTTTCATTTTGCCTTTTGTAATTTAACGTAACCCTAGTTATTCTTACCTATTTTCAATATAAATAAATTTGTTTTTATCCAAAGTCCTTGACTAATTGTTTAGTTATTAATTATCCATATAAATGATTCAATACATGAACAACCTTCCCTTTGTCCTTCTTCTTCTATCTGCTTTTTCATCATTACTTCCAATCATTTTGCTGTTTCATTCATGGCTTTTCTGTGGTTATTCTGGTTTGACTAAAGTCTAATGGTCCTTTTTGTCAGGTGGAGAGTTTGAGACTAATATCACCAGGTTCACACTGCCAATTCGTGTGCTTGCCTTTAACAAATCAGGGAGCATGCTGGCAGCTGCTGGTGATGATGAGGGCATTAAACTTATTAATACGATTGATGGTTCAATTGCTAGGGTTCTCAAAGCGCATAGAGGACCTGTCACTGGTTTAGCTTTTGATCCTAATGGAGAATACTTGGCATCAATTGATTCCATTGGAACTGTCATATATTGGGATCTCCAGTCTGGAAGAACATTATATACCCTTAAAGGTGTAGCTCCTGATACCGGCTCTGATACTTCCATTTTAAATATAGTTAGCTGGAGTCCTGATGGGGAGACCTTAGCTGTCCCTGGTTTGAAAAATGACATAGTGATGTATGATAGGGACACGGCAGAAAAGCTGTATAACTTGAGAGGTGATCACATGCAACCTATATGTTTCATATCTTGGTCACCTAATGGGAAATACATGGCTACTTCTAGTTTGGATAAGCAAGTTTTGATCTGGGATGTTAATAGGAAGCAGGATATTGACAGGCAGAAATTTGATGACAGAATATGTTGTATGGCATGGAAGCCAATTGGAAATGCACTGGCTGTCATTGATGTCATGGGAAAGTATGGAGTGTGGGAATCCGTTGTTCCTTCGTCAATGAAGTCTCCTACGGAAGACATTCCAAGTTCTCGATCAAAGAACAGTAACGGCCTCCTCTTTTTTGATGAGGAGGATGAGGAGCTTAGCATGTCAGGTAGTTTAAGTGATCTTGGTGAGGATAGCCATGGTGAGTCTGAGCCTCCTAGCAGGAAAAGATTGCGGAAACAGTCGGTACTTGTTGATGATCAGCATGAAGATGTTTATGATGAGTTAAGCTTGCTTCCAAAAACTGAATCTCGGAAAAAAGTGCATCGTGTTAACAAGGAAAATTCAGATAAAGAAAAAGATGGATTGAGAAGCATGATGGCATTTCGGCCAAAAATGCAGGAAGCTTTTCAGCCAGGTTCTACCCCTTCACAACCTGGGAAAAGGCATTTCCTGTGCTACAATATGCTTGGAAGTATAACTACAATCAAACATGATGAATATTCCCATATAGAGGTATTTCTGCCCGCTGCTTATTTTATCCTTGCTTCCTTATATCTTTTTTTTTTTCCTTTTGTGTAAGGAATGGTTTTGTGGATGTATGATTACGCATTAATTTTGAGGTTTTAATACAAATTGGATTTGCAAGCATTGAAAGAAATACATGTTTTTTCCTCCGTTACATGCTGATATTAATAAATCCATGTCTGATGCAGATAGATTTTCATGATACTAGCACAGGTCCTCGAGTTCCACCTATGACTGATCATTATGGTTTCACAATGGCTTCACTAAATGAAAATGGAAGTGTTTTTGCAAATCCATGCAAGGGCGAGAAGAACATGAGTACTCTCATGTATCGACCATTTAGCAGCTGGGCAAATAACAGTGAGGTTAGAGCAGTAACCTTCTAAAAGCAATTTGTTTTCATGCTTTGTTTTTATGCATTAGTTTGGACAAACATGTGCTTGTTTTATAAATGTTCACATTGGTGCATTTGATGTAAAGTTTCACAATGTGATGACTTTTGGTACATATTGTTAAATCAGTGGTACATGCGATTTGAAGGAGAAGAAGTAAGAGCAGTTGCAGTTGGTGCCACTTGGGTCGCAGCAGTTACAAGTCTTAATTTTCTTCGCACCTTCACTGATGGTGGTTTGCAGGTTTGTCTATTTAATACTGTTTATTTTATGCTTCATGATATGATTGACATGTTAAAATGATTTAATTTGTTATAGCCTTTTCATTTCCATTATGGTGGATGGTAATTTCTTGGAAATCATCATTACGTAATTACTTTATATTTGCATATCAAAGATAGCTGAAATCAAGTAATGTCATCTATGATCTAACAAATATAAAGGGCCTGTTTGAAAAAGTGAGCCATTAGTGGTAACAGTTAACTGGATAGGTGGTTTAAGTCTGGGTTAAAAAGCTCTGCTAATGACAGGAAATATTTTGAAGAAAAACCAAACAAAAGGGGGGACAAAAGAGGTCAAAGTGCGTTTGTTCCCCTTTCTTCTTTTTGCCCATTTTCAGGGTACAGAAAGAGTCAAAGCATGATTGGATAGCTTGATATAGACATTAAACAAAATTTGATTCACCATAGATCTATACATTTCAGAGGATGTAGCTCTGCTGTGTTTATCAAGTTTTATGCCTTTATGGTAGCTCATAGATTTTAGTGTTTCATGTTGATATCTAACCATAATAATTTATTGCAACTCTTGTGGCAAAATTTGTGTTGGTTTGCAATTGCTAGGACTAGCTAATATATGAATAAGTCAAATAGCAGAAGGAAAAAGGGAGTGCTGGTGGCGACCAATATATGCTTTGTTGCTTATGCAATTATTCTTAATCAGAAAACTAATTGTAAATCATCTTAAGAGCTAAGGATTTTGGTTTTATGCCTGTGCTCAGTTGTTTTTCTTTAATGACTTTATTGCAGAAACATATTCTCTCACTTAATGGGCCCGTGGTGACAGCAGCAGGCTTTAAAGATGAGCTAGCAATCGTCACCCATGTTTCTGATTGTCTGCCATCTAATGAGCAGGTATGTTACTATTGATATGTATTCTATTATTTGGTACGTAATGATTCAACTAGTATCAACGTAATAATATCTTAAGTTGAAACGAGAGCCTTGGTGGCGAATGTCAAAAGCCTTTTTTTGAGCCTGTTACTTCATATTTTAAGATTCCTTCTATTTAAACATGCAGATGCTAGAGTTTAGCATATTCAACATATCCAAAGGAACCCAAATCTTCAAAGGTCGTCTTCCATTAACTCCTGGTTCATATCTAACGTGGTTAGGGTTTAGTGAAGAAGGCCAGTTAAGCTCTTATGATTCTAAGGTATTCTGAGCTCCAATTTCTTGTTTTGATTATTGAACTCTGTTTTCAAAGTTATCATAATAACTACATTTCTTTTGGGTATTGAATCTTGAAAAAAATTTGCAGGGCATACTAAGGGTTTTCACAAACCAATATGGTGGCAATTGGCTTCCTCTTTTCAGGTTTAATGTTCTTCTCTTAAGGATACATAACAATTCTTTTGATTAGTACTGCATATTAATTCTTTAAAATTTTCAATATGTAATAAATGTTCATTGTTCTTCACAGTGCAAGCAAAGAGAGGAAGTCTGGTGAGAATTATTGGGTGGTTGGGTTGAATGCGAGCAAGTTGTTTTGTGTTGTTTGTAAGAATCCAGATTCTTTCCCACAGGTATTATAACTTGTCACCTTAAGTTCTGCTTTATGTTTAAACCAGTGCTTTATGGCCATTCTCTCCTTTTCAGGTTCTCCCTAAACCAGTTCTTACTCTGCTAAACCTGTCATTTCCTCTTGCTTCCTCTGATCTCGGAGAAGAAGCACTTGAAAATGAGTTTATGCTGAACAACCTGCATCTCTCACAGGTACTGTCCATTTATTTATTTATGTATTTTGGCTTTTCAAGCTTTATCTGTTAAGAAAGTCTGTTCTTTTGGTGCCGTTTTATGGAAAAATTCGCTCTTATTTTCTGGACAAAGATTTGCTTAAGATTTTTCTCCTGTTATTAACTTATATATGGAATGTTCCCAACTTTATTTAGGGCTATTAGGTAGCTAATTTATTAGATGTATAAACCTTGCAGATTCAACATAGAATAGAAGTAATGGCTGGTGAAGACTTGGACGCTGCTTCTCTTGATGATGAGGCTTTTGTCATAGAGGCAGCACAAGATAGATGCATATTAAGGCTCATTGCATCCTGCTGCAATGGTGAGTCTTTGAAACTCATAGTAACCTTTCATGGGATGCAATCCCTTTCTTTAGTCTTACCATGCAATATCTGACTCATTCTAACCAGTTAAGCATTTTTCTGGCGGTTCTTGCAGGTGACAAACTAGTGAGAGCTATTGAACTTGTGAAGCTTTTATCAGTTGAAAAATCAGTTAGAGGTGCAATACAGCTTGCAACTGCTCTGAAGCTTCCCATTTTGGCAGAACAATTCAACAATATACTGGAGGTTGGCCCTCAACATCTAAACAGATGTGAGTTCTAAAAGTGCTAGATCTGGATTCTGATATTTTTGTTTATACTTTCTATAAACAGGAAAGATTGAGAAGTAAAACTGAGGTTTTAAACACCTCTCTTCCCAGTTCAAATTATGGTCCTTCCGGTAAAGTGGATCTTGCAGTCAGCAAGGCCTTAACTGCAATTGAAAGAAGTGAAATTTCAGAACCAATTGTTTCATCATCTTCAGCTAAACTCTCAGCTGCCCCTCTGTTTACAAAAAAGGTAAAATCTTCAGATAGAATTAAATTTGGAATGCAAAAAACAGATGGTGGTCAAACTGCAAATTTAGAGGACAGGAAGGTGGTGAAGGATGCAGATAAAAATGCTGGACCTAGCCATGTGAATTGTGTGAAAGAGGTTACGAACCTAGAAACTCAACGCCCTTCTAATCCTTTTTTGAAGTTACAGAATAATCGGGAAGGAAAGAAGGTTGGGGAAGTGACTCAGTCACAATCTCAGGGTCCGTCCAATCCAATTTCGAAGTCTTCAAATGAGGAAGCAAAGAAGGTAGGGGAAGTAACAGGGGTACAATCTCACCGTCCTTCCAATCCATTTTTGAAATCTACAGTTAAGTGAAGTGTTAGTTTTACAAGAAACAAGGCCTAATTCAGGCAATACAAAGGTGAAACAGGCATCATCACTCCTCAGGCACACTCTGTGGAAACCATCCTAGTTTTATGGGTGAGAATAAAAGGAAGAAATGCCTGTTCCTACTTATTGGTGAAGTTATTTGGTGGGTTTTGTGGCCCATGGTAGTTTCACTTGATGTTTTAGTTGCAGCAAATTGATGCCACCTAATGTTAAACTAGATATTAGTAGTTATCTTGGATTATGGTTAAGAACACTCTTGGCGAATCATCAAAAGCTGAGTTCTGGCCTGAAATTTGTAATTTTAGTAGATAGATTATTCCTTGGAGGGTAAATGGTAATTCAAACTGATGTCTGGTAGGCTAAGACATTTCTTAGCTCGTGTAAACTCGCTGATCATGGCATCGAAAGACTGTACCCTCTTTTTCCCCAAGCTTCGAGCTAGCCTGCAGGCTGACAGCGCAAGTATATACCCCTTTGCCTCAAGGTTCGATATAAACCTCGTCTTGGAACAAAGGTTCTATCAATTCCCAGCATTACGAACTTCTAAGCCACCTCAGGACACTGAAAAATCAACTCACGGATATCATCAATATTTTGGTTTTTGACTAAACATGACAGGCTTCTATAGAATTCTGTCAAGCTCAATGCGTTAGATTCAACCACTTGTAAACTACATTTGTTGTTGTAATGCAATTATACTTTGATAATTGGCATGTTTTGGAGAGGATTAACAGAAGAGGAACCGTATCCAGTTCCAACGGCATGTAAAAAGTCAGAAGTTATCAAACTGTTCAAATTCAAAACGGCAAGCTTGCATCAGAACAGGTTGGCAGACTGGGAAATTAAAAGCAATGGACGGGCTTAAACATAGTAATAAGCTAGAAGGAATGGAAAAAATAGCTTAATCTTCCCTTCATGGGAACAAGAGCAAGACTAATTTCATCTGGATTATTACATGGCAACTAGAATGACATGTTAATGTTATATAGTTAGCATTACTTTGTTATTACTGAGGTCATCCATGTTTGATTATACCTACATCAAAAACGTTGTTTTCGGTCCACTTAGGAAAGGAGAAGAATGAAAAAGGTATTTTCTCTGATGAAAAAAAATGGCAAAAGTAGTTGCCTCCCAGCAATTCTAACCTCTCAAGGATAAAACATGATACAAGTCATTTATAGCAGCAACCATTATCTTCTCCGTTGGTGCAACTGTCAATGGCATTTGCTTAAATGAGCATTCCTATTCTAGTAAATAAGCTTCTTGAATAACAAGTCACCTGAAAATGTCTTCAACTTCTGGTTAAAAACCACATACATTCCTTTTTTACTTAGCGTGTGCCTAAGTGTTTGACAAATAGAAACTGCATAATAATTCCAGTAAAGACAGAAGCTAGTTCACATCTATGATTTTCAAATATAAGGCTAGGACTTACCCGAAAAGGCAGCAGACTAATATTCTAACTTATATACGATGATGGTCTAAATGTCTACTTTTGCTATTGGTTTCACCACTGAATTTAGGCAGCCTTGAAGAATATTGAATCGAATAGAGAAATTTACCTCGTCCCAAGACCAGATCTCAGAATCATAAAATGTTTTCTCAACTAAACCTGTTGAAAATATTAATTTAGAGAAGGATTTCTCTGCTCAGGGTGTCAAGAACATCCAATGAACTTGAAAATATTTGGTTAGAGGTTGAAGAAGCATAATAACCACAAACATGATGTGTCTTGTATAGGAAGGTAAGGCTTCCCGAGTGACATTTCTTCGGGCCAGCTTTCTGCTACTACTGTGAATATACACATTTTGCTTTATGAACATCTAATCTGAGTATTTAACAAGAACCAAAGTGGTAATAACATTTGTAGTACCTAAAATGTGAAAAGGAATTCACCGGTTCAATTTGTATCAAAGACTAAAAGAGTTCTTAAACTTAACCTTGCTTATCGATGCATGGCATAAAAATGTTCCATGAAGTCATATGGAGTTTAATTGTTGAGTTATTGTGCTAGAACAAGCAAACGAAACCAAAGTTGCAATTTGCAACCCCTTATCACATTGACTTTCCAGAGATTGGAGCTTTTAAAAGTTGCATTTTGGTCAGGACAATCACTTTGTCCAATTCAAGGAATGAGACCATTTTGCTCAGGACAATCACTTTGTCCAATTCAGATTTCCAACTTTGGATTGAAATAATCACGTCTGAGTTACTTGGTTGCATTTCTACTTTCTAAAGCACATTTTGTCAAAAAATTATAACTGATGGCAATTCAAGTAAAAGGAGAGTAGAAGATAATAAAGTCTAAAGAGAAAACTAGGGGTTAAAGCTAAATATAATTTACCTGGCATTTTCATATAAATAGAACTTCTCATGATCACATACTAAAGAACATGCCCTGCAAAACATTATTGCCGAAAGTCATATTCAGGAACGTTATTTTCTGATATGGAAGCATCAAAATTTCAACTTCTAACAGCCAAATGATACAAAAAACAAAGAGACCATGATTTTCATTGCTCAAAATATGAGGTTTTACCTTTTTTTTCCCCTTACCACCACAGATTTAACCTCTCCAACTTGTGTTGTCCATTACTCATCCTTCCTTTAATTCTAGTATTCTTTACCTACCCTGTAAGCATCATTAATGAATTACAAGACAGTGAGGTAGTTTGAATTCTGAAGAGAACATGCATTTAAAAGAAGTAGAATATGCTTGCACAATAAGAAACTCCTCTTAGATTGCTAAGTTCTCACCTATGAAACCCGGATTCCATCTTCTAGCTTATTCTCTCAGCCACCTATACATTCAAGCCACATGGAAGAGCCTGATTTCGAGGTGCATCGTAATCAACCTAATGGAAGCCAAATTCAAAATTTCTTTGCCTTCTGTCCCTCACAGAAAACATTTACCTCTGCAACTCAACTAAACATGCAGTCCTGGGAAATTGCTGGAAACCGTAGCCTACCACAAGGAAACTCATCTCTCCATCCTGATTCCAGCACAAATTTCTCTAACAGATTGTTCCCCAACTCTCAAATCCATTTTCCTTTCCATTTATTCTCTCCAAACGGATCATCTCTCAGCACTGAAAATGAGGCAAGAGAATATCAACCAAGCATTGTTGATGACAAGAGACTCAGGAGAATGATATCTAACAGAGAATCTGCAAGAAGATCAAGGATGCGAAAGAAGCAGCAAATTGAAGAGCTCCAATCACAGGTTGATCAACTTCAAACGATTAATCGTCAGCTTTCACAAAAGCTCATCAATCTGCTGGAGAGCAATCATGATTTCCTTCAAGAGAATGCTCAGCTCAAAGAGAAAGTTTCTACTCTTCACATGGTACTTGCAGATGTGTTTACACCTCTGAGAAATCAGGAGGATACCTTCCTGGAACATAAATCAGATTCTTAGAGATGCTGCTACAAGCCAATTAACCTTTGGCTAGTTTCCAGGATTTACTTGTTAATCTACAAAATATTATAGCAAAAGAGGTATCATCTAAATTGGGGTATATATATAAAACAACTTTTAAGGTAAAAATGGATGATAAACTGGTTTTGAAGCTGAGCCCTATGGGCTTCTTTTGTTCATGTAATTTAACGTATAGAAATCATTATACGCCTCGTTGGAATTACAGTTATACGCATATATAGTTTAATACATGTAATAAACTCTTCAGGCAGCGCATGTCAAAGTTTACAGTTTTCATCAGGATTTTACTCCATTAAAGAAGTTTGAGTATTCGACTGCCGGGTTACTGCAATGAATAGTGAAATTCAGGGGAGTAAGTATTAAGGGACTGGTATATATGATGAGCCCAGCTACAATAAAAAAGGTTATATAGTCAATGTATGAAAGGATCAGCCATCAAAGATTCAATGCTAGGATTGTCTGTAAGAGTATCATGTTTACCTGAACATCTGGCTTACTTAAATTCAGGTTCAAGGTTTCCCTCATCGTGTTTGGCATTTTAATCAAGTTTTATGGGTTTCCTCTTGAGTTGAATGCTTTAAGGTAGATGGCAAATATGCCTTTGCTACTTTCCTACAGAATATATGCACTTATGTTTGTCAGATGTTTTGTTTTTTTTGGATTGTCAAAGCACAAATTGAAACAATTTCTTAGCACAAAATTGACAGGATTCTCTAATTATGGTTGGTTATTCCCTTCTCAACTTCATGTCTGCTCATCAAATTCTTACCTGATAATCCAGAACAATGAAGAAGCAGGTGCCATCAACTAAAAAGGGTTAAAGAGAGTAAGCACAGACTTTAAGTAATAGTAGAGCAGAGTATCCTAACAGATTCGAGTTATACAATTATGTTTTAGTATCTGATCGGTTATAAATTATAATGTTAGGATAACATTAATTTTTTGACTGAAAAAGAGGAAAATGATTTTAGTTCTTTAGGATAAGTGAGGAAGGCCCTATGGGAATAATTATAGTTGAAAGAATTTTCTCATTATTATTTTACAAAGTGTGGAACCCTTGTAAATCAACAATTTGCTTTTGCACAACTAAGAACTTTGTTTGGGAAACAAGAACTAAATTTTAATAATTATGAAATTTGGGTACCAAAATCAAAGAGATTAAATTTAAATGCAGTTGCACAACTTCAGGATCAGAAGTTTTTACTTTTCCTCCCAAAAAGCTTATGATATTACCATTGTATCGTTATTATCATGATTATTCTCATACTTAAAATCCTACATCACCACCTGTAGATTTGACAATTTATGTAAGTATAAAATACTATCAATTCTTATATTTGTATCTTGATTTATGTGAAAATTATGTCATATAAAAAACACAAAATACATATTTTGGTTTTATTAAACCTATGGCTTTTGTTAAAAATTTAAATCGAATTACCTTCGTATATTTTTTTGGTAACTTTCATGTCATGACAACATGTATTTTAAGTTGCAGATATACTCACCTGCCGCCAGATCCCTCTTCCAAAATTATAGCTTGAAGTTACCTTTCATATTGCAATTGATATGATAGAATGATTGATGCCATTTGGAATCCAGGCAGTGACAAAAGTCATTTGTTAACAGAACATGACAAATTGTAGAAAATTTCTGGTTTATTGTTTCTAATTACTCAGTCTACATTATCCAGGCTTATTTACGTACGATACCATACTTGAGAGAATGCCTGCAATAGTGATATCAGCCATTTTTCTTGGGATTTTTCCATTTGAGATGTTTGTTGGAGTTTCTGCCTCGCAATTTGAACCATCATTGCTTTGGTCCTCAAATGCATGAATTGGGTCTGCAAATCACCTAGTACAAGGCCATCTAGACAGAGTAGTTGAAAGGCAGCCAATTTTATGATTCAGCACCAGACATTCTAAGCTATGCATGTTGAAAGAAATTCCATCCTACCTGGTTGACAATATGGTTTCACTATCTATTGTTGTTTTCTCATAAAAAATGTTGCCTGAAAGAATAAAAAGATAGGAATCGTGTTCAACTTTTTCACTTAATAGACACACTGCAAGGGGAAACAGCATGTAAAGTTCAAAGCAGAACAAATGGGAGCAGCAATGTATACCTCCGTAAAAATTCTTGTTAGAGAAATACTTTGCCATCAACCGACGAGTGTAGTCAGCCTCAAATTCCTTGTACTTCTCGATGAATTCTGGATTATCAAGAACGCTAACCAAAATGGGAGCATATCAAGTTACCACTTTGATACGTGAAGTTCAAAATATAAACACTCTTTTAACGTACAAAGAAGATTCATGATATAGCATTTAACTCAGAATGACACCATGTGAATTGGAGCTAAACATACCGTGAAATTCTTGTGTGGTGCATTCCTTGATTCAGGTTTCGTCCTCTTTATGCCATAACTAAACACACTATGTCTAAGCAGAGACTTCATTCACAAGGAAATAATGAGTTTATTATTTATGAGACTTTTGCTCCAATCTCTTTGTACCATGGCTCAAAATTGAAACAAGGAGTTATTTGCTTCTCATGCATGCTAATCAATATGGTCTGATTTGGAGAGCAACGGTACGCTCAAAATAGTGAGGAACTGATAAAAGACTGTTATTTATTTCATCAATCTGCTAGCAAACCAATGCATGAACAGCACCACCAATCCTTTTCAGTTACTTGGGACTTCCACCACCTTCATAAACTCATCATTGCTCAATGTCATGCGCTCAATAGTAACTAGACATGTTGATAAATGCTAAACAATTCACAGAATGCATAGTATGATCACCTAGCATTATCCACTACTGCAATTCCATCAAGATTACACCTCCCAAAAGACTAAAATTATTCAGCAATATATTGTCTGTCATCTACCTAGAATATCAATAACAGCATAACATAATTTAAACAAAAGATGTTCCTAACCGACTTATCAGGCCTCCAGATTAACACTAAAAATCTATACTACGTGAAACAACGATATGACAGATGCAAAACCATTCCAGCTTGCATTTCCTGGAAGTTCAGAACAAATGCTTTTCCATTTAAATAGAGGATGGAAAATGCAGGGCAGGGTCGAAATAATTACTCCGTATTAGAAACTAAAATATATAAAATGGCAAAACCATTTCAAGATTATATACGTTTCATTTGAATGAAATTCTAAGCTTTTCCTCTCAACATAAAACTACAGAGAAATAGCTATGTCAGCTGTTTTGGGAATTTGGCTCCCATTTCAAGAATTCTTGTGCGTCAGTGAATTAAAGGATTACCAAATCACCACTCGGAATGCTGTTCTTCTAATGAGTAATGACCACAACTATTTACTATACGACTTTATTTTTCTCTAATTCATAAAAATATTAAATTCTTTTTTTACCAATCACAGCCAATAACTAGTACAAAGCTGATGCTTTTTTTCTTCACAATCAGTCACTTAAACTGGAAATTACTGTTCCAGAACTGGGTTCAATCAAAGTTACATACTTTAAAGAGATAAGAAGCAATTACTTCCTAGAGGCTCCAAGAAAGAAGGGTATTGAATGGAATTTTATCTGAAATTTGAAAGTTCACCAATTAAAAAAAAAAGTAAAGGTAACAAAAAACCTACTTAAACTGTAATAAAAAAGGTATATTTAAAAAAAAAGCAGATAAAAGCTTCAAATCTAAAAGGAGTAGAAGAAACTAACTCACGCAAAATGATCAGCAATCTGAGGCTTTATGTTTAGTGAAATTTATTTGTTGTTTTGGTGAAAGAATAATAATGACTGATAATTAATGCCACAATAATATCATTATCCATATAAACAATTGAAAGAATTTTCATCTACTAACAAAAATAGTAAATAACAAAGTGGTGGAAAGTTTTATTTGACCATGAAATTTCATTAGATAGTAATTTTTATTTATACATGTAGATTCATCAAAGAAAAAAAATCACCAATTAGCCACTTAATTTTATTAAATTTAAGATTCAAGCATTATACTTTATAAATTAGTCAATTAAACCATTTTGTTAACAAGTCCACACCCCATCTCTGTCCAAACTAGATATGAAATATGTAATAAATAGACATGAAAATTTATATTAATTGTATCTATTTCGTGTCAAATACGAGTAAAATATTAAATTATTATATTATAATTTGTGTAGACATATAAAACATAATTTTTTTTTTGTTTATGTCAAGTCCATATATGATTTTTTTAAATTTTAAATTTTAAATTGCATTATTGTTATATTTTTTATATTATATTCATGTTATGTCTAAAATTATCAGATTTAACAAAAAATCAGTAATCTTTGAACAATATTCATGAAAAGCCTAATTACCCCTTTATCTTTTCTCTATTTGCATATATGGTAAATGTTTTCCAGGCATACATTATTTCTTTCCCAATATGTGACAGAAGTATTCCCCTTGCTAGCAAAATTTGCACCACTTCAATCGCCATCTCCTTTACCAACTGCAGCTGCCGTCCTCGACCTTGAATTGGCCGCCAAGCCAGCTGCATTACCGGTACAGGACTCACGGAATTACTTGGGCTAGGAAAACCTAATAGTAGCATTTTGTTTGTGATCATCCATTGAAATAGCTTTCTTGTTTGCTCAAATTGGTCCTCGACTTCCCGAAGCTTTCATATTTCTTTCCCTCGAAATCCTGTTGGCAAATCTTATATCAAGTCCAAGTTTCATATGATAGCTTGAAGGTGGCTTTTTCATGGTGACAGTCGCATTAGTTGATTAGTAATTGATTTCTTTGGAAGAAAAAGATTAACGGCTCAAATATAAGTCTCAATAAAGCAATATAAATACGTTTGGATCAAGGTACATAGTTTGTTTGAAAAGTAATGAACAGAAAAAAGTCCGATCCAATTTGATTTTGCATATCAAGTTTGGATCTGCTTGCACAATGATAAGTTGTCTGTCCAAACAATTTTAAACAGATAAAAATAACAGAACATGATTTGGCACATGACACATGCATATTATACATCACTCCACTTCATAATAACAGAAAAAACATAAAAATAATATTAATAAAAAGGCATTTACCTTAGATGACAGATTGATTGAAGCTGTTCTTTGACACCATTCTGTGGCCAACACAATGTTTCCCACCATACTTGTTCTGCTTCAATGGATTTCAGATTTGCTGCATTGTCTTTGTCAAATGGTAGTGACTTCAATTCAGGGCACCCGTAAACTTGAAGCTCTTTCAATAAGGGCCATGCCAATGACTTATCTACGGATATAGTCCTTAGTTTTGGCATGTCAATCAATACAAGTGTCTCTAGATTTGAAAAAGAAGGTGAAACTTGGCCAGCATTGTCAGCTTTCTCGATTAGCTCTTCCATCTCAGCGCAATTTTGAACTGCTAGTTTGTGAAGTTTTGAGAGTTGTTGAATCACCCCGAGGGTGAAAATTTTTCTCAAAATTGGGCAACTCGTCACCACCAATGTGTGCAATTTAGAAAGACTGTTGGTTGAGAGGGAGCCCTCAAAAATGGTTTGCAGACACCGCAAATTAACCAAATGCAATTGCTCTAGATTTGGTAGGATGACTCTACCTTGTGTCCTGTTGCCATCAGCAATAGTTGTCATTTTGTTGCACCTTTCAATTAGACAACCACGAATCCTGTTAAAGCTGTCAACATTCACGAAATCCACCAGACTCGTGACATCTTTGTGTTCAACCAATTCCAATGCATCAGTTTCTGGAAGCAGATCACAAATTATTGAGTAATCACCAAGCTTGCCTTGGCAATATCCCAAATACCGATTGATTTTGTACTTAAAATACTCGAGAATTTGAGGACGTTTCCTGTTTTGGCAACCAACATAGAACCAAAAGGAAGTGAGTTGTTGTCGTTTTTTCCATGATGGGCTGTGCTGCATAAAAGTCTCGAGGACCTCTGATTTAGGGAAGCAGATTCTGAGAGTAGTTAGATTCTCCAAGGTAGCCACTTGCCTCATTACATCAACAACCTCCTTGCACCAATGATCATAAGAACCCACATCAATCATCAATTCTTCCAGTTTGGCAAGCAATGGAATCACGTTGCAGTCAATGTCCATATCTTGACAGTCATTTGGGTTGCTGGATTTATAGTATGACACTCGCAAGCACCTTAAGTTAACCAGTTTTTTAATATGAAATGGAATGAAGCTTCTTATCCTGCAGCCTCTAATGTCAAGTACCTCAAGACAATGAAGTTCTCCAACTTGGGGGGGCAACTCTGTTAGATGGATGCAATTATTCAAGTAAAGCCCTTTTAGAAGTGACAACTTTGCTAAAGATGGTGGCAGTGATTCAATCCCAGCTCCATATAGGTCCAAAACCAAAAGTGACTTCATATTTTCAAAAAAGGATTGGGGGATTTCTGTCAAATTTGAATTTCTCTGTAGTAATAGTGACAAAAGCATGATACAATTGGGGCTTTCCGGCAAGTCTCTCAACTGTTTGTCAATCATGGAGATCCTCTTTGCTTGTTCCCAATCATTTTCTTCCAAGCAATCAGGTGAATTTTCACTCATCCCAGTCAAGAATTTACAATCGGGATCTTGTGAAGCAATATACAAAGCAACCTGTCGGATACTATTGTTCATTTGAACATAAATCATCCTTTCACCTTTCTCTAGTAATGACACATTTGTTAGATACTTCAATGTGTCATACCCTTCATCAAGTGCTTCTTGAAATCTCCTCTTCTCATCGGTATTGCCAACAAGTCCTTCTATAGCCCAACACTCCAGTAAATAATCTGTATAAATCTTGCTCTCTGCTGGAAGCAATGCACCATACAAGAAGCATTTCCTTTTCTGATCATCCTTCAGTTGATCATAACAGAACTTTAAGAATGAATGCAATTCAGTTAAGCCTGGAATCTCAATGTCTGGCCATTTCCGTAGGTCTTTTAACCCTTTCCTCCATTCTGACACACTGTCTTTCAACTTGAAAGCACCTGCCACTGTCTTGATCAGCAGTGGGAGTCGAGCACACTCTTTAGCCACCAGCTGAGCAACTGGTTCAATATCAGGAAGATCTACGACATCAATGATCATCTGCTGAAACATCTTCCATGCCTCATCTGGCGATAGTGGGCGGACCTCAATCAATCTGTCTGCCATTAAAGAACAAACATGACGATATTCAGTTGTCAATACCACTTTACTGCCATTATTGTTGACAGGGATTCCAATATCTTCCAACTCAATTGAGTCCATCACCTCATCCAAAAGCAGCAAATACTTCTTGTCATTCAATTCTTCCGATATTGTTCTAGCAATGTCCTCAGGATGAACAATGCCTTTCATTTTTAGTTTAAGCCGCCGTGCAATATCCTCCTGCAATTTTTCTTCACTCCTCTCACTGGAGACATTTGCCCAAATGACTATATCAAACATTTTAGCTACTTCGTCATGGTTATTCAAGTTCTGCATTATTGTTGTTTTCCCAACCCCCAAAGTGCCCCAAATCCCAATACCTTTCAACTTGTCGTTTCTCAACAGCTCCAATACTTGCTCCAATGGCCTCTGCAGGCTATTAAACCCTTTGATCTCAGGTGCGTTCATCTTCAAGACAGGTTCTATAGGTTTGTCAACCAAAAAACCCCCCAGAAATTTCCCCCCTTCCACAAGCTTTTGAATTTCTTCAAGCATTTTCACCAATTTTCCATTATAATTCGATCGTTGCCTCATATGAATGAATCTGGATGACAGCTTTTCATGATCTTCTTCAAATTGATGTTCTAACTCTTTTGCATTATGAAGAGTCTTGTTAACACTGCGTAGCCAAAAATCATAACTGCTAGTAGTTGTCTTCATTTTATGTTTCTTGACTTCCCTTTCGTAATCATCCCTCAGAGCCTGGAGCCTTGCTACTTCATTTCTCATCATTTCGTAGTTTCTTTCCATACTCTGTGATATACAGACTTTGCTTTTAGCATAATCAGTTATATCACCCCCAGCTTGGCTCACGACTCCCGCAAGACAAGAAGCTAATATGTTATCAGCCATGAGGAAATTAACTTGATCCTGCAACAGCAACAAGGAGTTCACAAGGTAATAGAGTTAGATACCAGATGGACAAGGTTTAGTTTGCTAAAATGTTTTATTTGGGTTTTCATTTTGCTCATGTGTTAGAAGGGGAAGAATTTTGTATTCACTAGCTTCTAAAAATACTGTACAAAAGTGTCTTATTTATATACAATATAATTTCAATAATTAAGAAAAGAATCATATAATTAATACGATATCTTAATCGCGTAATCCTAAATATTATTCTAGTATCATAATCCATCCTAATATTACATTTGACTACATAATAACATATGGAAAGGCATTCATGCACTTTTTCACTTCTATAGTTTTGTTATTAATTTTATTTCCTATAGTTTCTTCTCTACTTAATTTTGACTTAAAAAAAAAAGAATTATTTATGTGAAACTCTGTATTCACTGTAAAATTTTCTACTGATTTAATTAGATTCACCTAGAAATTCATGGCTTAATTATCACAGTAAATATGAAAATTGTAAGCAGCAGATGCTGTGAAAACAGAGGAAACCTAGAACAGAGTTGAGATAAGGATGCAGCTATACCAGGGCCTGCGAAGGACTCAACTGTTGGAAACTCTATGCCTTGAAAATCTGAAAAATATAAAGTCAAGAAGGGTTACAACATACTGAAATTAGTCCGAAAGATCTATTTAAAACAGTTCCTTAGTTCTTTTGTGGAGAAAGGACTCATTTCTATTTGATTGATCGTAAAGAAACAGAGGAATGAATCCCAGGTTAATTGTGACCCAACGAAAAAAAACACCAAAGACATTAGAAGAAGTTGGTTTCAGACTGATATAGAAATAGAGGTGCAGTAAAAATTACCTGAAAATCGTCGTCGGAACTGTTGTGAGTTCTGCTTAGCAATTTAAGTTTGTGAGAGATTAGAACAAGCTGATTATCAAGAGAGATGACTTGGGGTTGACGAACTTGGATAGTGGATTAATGGTGTGTTGGTTCTTGGTAGTTTCTGATATTCTACTTTTCCAACAATTGGCCAATAAGATTTTTCCTGACAAGCATGTCTGTATTAATATATCAATGTATTAGTGTATGTATATCATAGGGACCATAATTCTGTACGATCAAAACACACAATTAAAGTTGTAGTATATTGTTGTCTGCTCGTTGGTCCTTTCTTGGAGATATTATAGCGGCCCGGCATACACTTTTCGGGAGCATTTTAATTACAATTTTTTTATTATAATATTACAATGAGTATTATAATATTATAATAAATCAAATCATAATCAACAATTATGGAAGGGTTTTACGATAAAAAAGCCCCCTTTTGGCGGGCCTAGTGGACCCCAAGTAAGTGAAAAGGAAAATAATCTAGTAATTTGTATCTTGGTGTGAAATTTGACACGTGTAATAATATAAATGATTAAAATATAAATTTAATATAAATTATAAAATATATGTAAATTTTAAAATAATAAACATAACATATTTATTATATATATTATATGTGATATAATATGATTCACATGATTAATATTGATAATATTAACATATATGAATAAATATAAATAATATTAATATATACGAATACCATTGATATATGCAAATAAATAATAAATACATATTATCAAATATCATATCTAATTCAAGGCATACCGATATGCTAATTTCAAAGTATTCAAAAAATAATAATAATTTAAAAGTTACATTTTAATAATATCTTATCATGTGATATAAAATAAATTATTTAATTTTTTATCATTATACATATTATTTAGAATATGTATTATTTTTAAATTTTAAATATATAATCTTTTATTAATTTTTATAATTTAAAATATTTGTATATTATGATTTATGTTATTAAGATGATTATATAATTTCTTATCATTATAAATATTATTTATTATCATTATAATATATTATTGTATATTTATATGATTTGGATTTGCTTTGCTTTATCAATGATCATATTGTTGGATGTCACTTGTTATTAATAATTAAGTATATATTTATCATTCTAAATTTTTTTAAAATTGTTTTTTAACCTTATTATAAAAAAATTACGAAGAACAATATATATTTAACATGTTAAAATTTATATATTATATATATTACTAATATAAAAAATACTTGCATATTTAAAAAATATAAAAAATAGATACTCATTTAATATGCATTTAACATATATTATATATATTTAAATTTTAATATATGCATTATTAATATAACAATCATAAATGTATACATAATTATATTAATTTTTAATACCAAATTTAAAATGATAAACTACAAAAATTTTTAAAATAAAACAATGATGTATTATATTAATATTATTTATATTGTATTTATATTATTAATATAAAAATAATTTTATAATAATTATTAAATCAATATCATAATTAAATTTTAAAATAAACTTTATATGGTATATTAAATAACTAATTAAATGTCATAATTAAAAGATTAAAAATTAAAATAATCTTTATATATTTATATTAAATTAAAATAAATACAAAATTATGTTAAACATATTTTCGTGTCATATCACATGTTAAACATATTTTCGTGTGACACATTTTATTTAAACGTATTTTTTGTATCTTATAAGTATTTAGACATGTCAACACATTTAAAATATAAATTGCATTTTATTAAAATTTATGTTGATGTGAATAAATATAAAATATATTTTTTAAAAATATATATAATTTGTTGTGTAATTTTTATATCTTATCATCTTTAATATCTAAAAGTCAAACATTTTTGGATAAGCCAATTTAATCATAAAACACACATTTTTATGACTTTGACACACTTTCACACAAATCATAAATCAGCAAATAGTATAAGTTATGCTACTCAAATCTAATAGATTGTTATTGTTTAGGTAAAATTTATTAGAACAAAAGTTATGAAAATTGTCATAATGTATAGATTTATTGACCTACAGCTAAATATGAATTAGAGGAGTCGTCATCAATATTTTTTGTTTATGTGTGATTGGTTACCTAATCGAATCTGATCATAAAATCAGATTTAGATTCAAGAGTACGATTACATGTGAAGAAGGTTATAGCACTTTCACAATGTCCATCCAAATGATGGTACCAGTTTGATTTCAAATTATCCAAACTTTAAACATGTTTGTGATTTATCAAAATATTTAATATTACGAATTAATCTTAAAATTACTCTATAGTTCGATAGTAATTTAGGATAATTTTTTTACTTTAAAAGTGTTGATGGAGACTAGTGTCGTACTTTGAAGAAGCTTCGTGTCGGATTTGTTATTATATTTTTTAAAAAAATTAGTAAAATCCTTTAATAGCTTGATAAGATTTATTTTAAAGCCAATCTCTTAATAGTTTGATAAGATTTTATAAAAAAAAATTAATTTAAATATTTCAGAAAGCATTATGAATTTAAAAATGCATATAAAAAAATAAGCAATGAAATAAATATACAAACCAACAATTGAAATTACCTAAATAGGCTGAGCTAGACCTAAAATGAAATCCAAAAGAGATACTAGAGTCAGTCCAAACTTTGGCCTAGTGAGAAGCTACGAAAGCTTGGCATGATCAATTCAAATTTGGGCTTGGGTTTTACATTGGACTAATCAATTCAAATCTTGGCCTAGACTAAAGTTTGGGTTAGATTAAAGATTAAACCTTTTGGGTCTTGGGTTAGGCTTTCAAATTGGGGCTAACCTTTTCAAACCAAGAAAGCCTTTTTGTTTTGTCTTTCTTTCTGTATTTGTAAAACACCTTTTGCACAACCCCTCTTACTAGATTGAAACTCAGGCCAGCAAATAAGACCGTCGTCACCTCCACTAACATGGGTCATGGCTACCTCTTCTAATCCCTGTTTTTTTAAAGCAACGATCTCCAACAACCTTAAACATAAAAGCTGATGTAATACCCCATTCCTTTACTGTGCACTGCTGACTAATTGTGGTTGATCCTTATTGTGTTTTTTTTTTGTTTTTTGGTTTTGAACACTGGGTTTGTGCTTGCTTTGATTGTTCAGTTTAAGTCATTTTTTTGTGTCATTTGGGACTTTTTTGGTGGTTGTTGCTTCTGGGTATTGAATCTTTGCTAAATTAGTTCAGAGATGGGTTGATTTTTAGGGTTGAATAATTGAGATTTCTCTACGTCTGGGCTTTGCCGAATCAAAGACAATGTTTGAATGTCTACGGCTAAGTTGTTTTGTTGTGATTGATTTCTTTGGACTTTGCTAAGCAAAACACCTTTTTTTGGGAATGGCCAAAATTTCTTTTTTATGCTCATTTGATTGATTTTTATGCTGAATTGCTTGCTACTTCTTCCCTGTATTCTTTTTTGATTTCTCAATGTCTCTGGTTTTTTTTTTTTTTGCTCTGTTAATTACTTCCCCTTGATTTTCTCTCCATTCTTTGTTCCCGACTGTATATGCTTGATTCTCTGCGTGAATTATGCCCAATAAATTCGGGACTAAATCATCGAGAATTTTTCAATAAATTCAGGACTAAATCATCGAGACTTATTCCACAACAGTACCACAATTTTTTTCTTCTGATTTTCTCCTTTTATTTTTTTATTTTTTGAAAAATAAGTAAAGTCAAACCAAATCAAATTAAAATAAAATTTTTTTTCATCATATCAAAAGCTTCTCAATTGGGTCCAATTAATGGTTGAAAGTTGGTTTTTATCTAAGAAAAATCCTAAATAAAATAAAATGTTTACAAAAGTAACATAATTTAAAATTTTAACAAAAATTAAAAAATATATTTTATATTTTTGGTTGATATAAATTATAATATGTAATTTTTTATAAAATATAATATAAATATATAAATTATTAATATGTTATATGACATAAATTATGATAGAATTGCTCATAATTCAGTTTTAATCAAATTAATGGATTGAATTAATTTAATTTGATTAATCGATCAGTCATTAAATCAATTTTGATCGATTAACAAAAATAATTTAAAAATTTTTTTAATTTTCGATTAATTCAGTTCGAAAATTAAATTAAATAAAATTTTAATCAAAATATAATAAAATTCAAAAATTAAATAAAAATATATGAAATACATCATTTTATTTCATAAATTGTTAGAGTTTTAACATAATATTTAAATATTTAAATATTTTGTTGAATAATTTTATTTAATTTGTTTAAAGTATAAAAAATTAAAACTTAAAAATATAATTTAGTGTCTAACTTGAAGGTTTATCAATATTGATAAATGATAATACATAATCACACTATTTTTTACAGACTTTATCCAGTTCTTGAATGGTGTGATCATAAAATCATGTAATATTATCTCTCGCATAAAATGAAGGATATAATATCCATATTCAGTATTACCGAGTTGATGAGGTACTTAAAAATTAAATTGAGTGGGTTTAAAAAATATTTATCTACACTAACTCAACATAAAAAGAATATATTTCACATTTATCGATAATGACACAAATTTCGATTTCTTTATCTTCTTATCGAATACAAATATTACCCTAAATTGAAAAAAAAATTACTTAATACATAAATAAAATGACTTATGAAGAAACATAAAATATATAATATAATAAAGTATAATACCTCTTTATAAAAGTTTGAATATCGATGTTAGGCATTGCCGTTGGATTAACTGAATTAAGTAAGTATGACGTTAAAGATTTGATGTCAATCACAATAAGCACCCAATGATGACTGCAAAATAATAACAATGATATACTTAGATTACATATCTGATCAGATTTGGGTAAGGTTGTAGTAATTAAGGTTGAAAAATAGCTTACTATGCATTATACGAGAGCAAATAATAATCAATCGATCTTTTCATGCATAGGATCACATGATTAGCACGATAAACGACTATGTTACTCTGCTCACTAATGAAGTTGGGGTCAATGAATCTAAATTTGCTAATCAACTGTCTCCCCTTGAGCTCTCTATATAAGAAGCTACACGATAACAATCAACACTACTAGTTAGTATTACACCGTAATATAGATTACTACATATTGAATGTGTATATTTGTATTTATAAGCTAACCTCATATAAGCAACGATATCAACAACTAATAATTCATCCAATTCATAAAATTCTTTAACTTCTTC